ATTTTACCCAGGACTCTCTATGGTCTTTATGCCAACTTTACTAACACTCTCAATGAGGAAATCGTTAAAGCCATGAATAATTTCCTTTTGCTCAATCCATTGGTAGACCCCTTCATATATATTTTAAGTATCGAAGAAGTGCGCGGTCAATTAAAATGCAGATGTCGACAAAAGAACCGAACAGCACTAACAATAATAAAGAATCAACAAACAAGTGCTACTGTATCTGGTAGCATGTCTTAGGTACCTAACAAACCTACTACATCAGTGACATATCATTGAAGTACATATTTGATCTCAAAACTGAAGGATCATTATATTAAGATTTATTGGAATGATATCACGGAATCAAAGGAAGACAACATACATTAATAAATATTTTAAATGATTTTATTTTCTTTTAATGACGAAATTAGTGAAATTATTGATAACTGTGCGGTAGGTATTACAATAAACATTTAACATCGATAACATTTAAGTTATAATTGTATTAACAATATAATTAAAAGATATATTTGTTATTAAAACGCCACCAACAAGAACTCTACAAAAACAGGCTACCAGATGCCTTATTTATGCTTAAATAAAACAAAAAAAAAAAGAAAAAGAAATATGGCAGACAGCAACTAACGATAACAAATGTATTGTGTGCTTTATTTCTTGTCTGTCTAGACTCTAAAATTTACATCTGTTAATGTATTGTCAATTGTGTTATAACCATTATTACTTATCGATTCCATCACTGCAATAAGTGTGTTATGATATTTCTCCACTCGAGACAGTTAAATTTTAATAATAAAAGATTGAGACTTGCCGAGCTTTTTAAATAATCAAAATTTAACTTTTGAGAATGCAGAAATATCGTAAAACCGGACACTTGCTGAACTGTCTTCCATCAATCGGTAGTAGAAAGATTTCCGTTTATAATTTTTTTATCAAGTTGTTATTAAATTTTTCTCTAGATTTTCTTATTATGCTAGTAAGTTCATTGCGATTTTTTTTAATTCATCCAATCTGATTGGTTATTAAATTTTTTGCCCTTTTTGTGAATTCTATTTTTTTTCCTTATATAGTTGTGAGCCATTGGGGTTCAGTTTTTCTAACTGTTATAGTCTCATTTTGAATACATTTTCCAGCGGCTTCTATGATTGTTTTGGCTATTTCATTTATGATTTCATCAACGTTATCCGAATTTGTTATTGAATCCCAATCTTTTTCACATAAATTATTTCGACACCTATCATGATCTCCTCGGTCATACAACCCAATTTTACACTTAAAGGTCTTTGGTCAACTTTTAGACTTATTACAGGACAATGACTCCCCAATAGTGTATTGTGCGAACATCATTAGTCATTAAAAGATCTAATAATGATGACGATGATTCGGTAAAGTGGTGGATTCATCTCTTAATTGCACGAGCAAACTAGTTTTTGTTAAAATTGTCCATGGCAAATATTAAGTTTATTGTACTATCATTGGACGCCATATCTAGAGAATTTTTCTAATTTCCCCCAGATTTCAGAATTACTTTTTGGGGGTAAATAAAAGGTTTCAAGTAACGCTTTCTTTCCATTAAATTTGAGCTCTAGTCAGACTGCTTCAAAATGGTCAATTTCGAGGTCAGTTCGGCGGTTTACATGTATATTATTTCCAACATAGACTATTACTCCCCTGCAAACCTTATGTGGACCTCTGTCGCGACGAAATGGGTCATGATAATTAAGAAGCTTGAATGACTCGTCTTCGTGATTGATGTTTAACAAGGTTTCAATAAAAGCTAAAATATCAATTTCAGAGTATTCGGCTTGTATAAGGTCATTTTTCGGATATATACTTTGTATATTCAAGTGAAGAACTGAAAAGTTCACCAAAATCCGATATATCAGACGAGTTTATGGAAATGAAATTTATTTCGTCAATCGGACAGGTTTTTAATTCTTTATTTGTGCAACAATTAGCAATAGAGAAATACACAAAAAGTAAATTGAATTCATATTTACAGTTATATCTCTATGCACATTTGTATTTTTATGCTTTATCTCGCTAAGGTTGTGATTTTTGCAATGTCGGATCAATGTAAAAACTAACAATGATAATGCCATTGCCTGTGAAGCATTTTAACAATTTACAAATAGGTTGATACAGATTATACCAGTATAGTTTATGGACACCATCACGAATTGGTTGATCTAGACGATGTGTCTGTGTCTAAACTAACTAATGACCGTTTTACCACGGTAAAGATTGTGTTTAATATCTATGTCGTCTGTCTGCTAAGTACTGAATGTGACCTATTCCCGAATATGACAGTTATACCGAGAGTAAATTTACATTGCTGTACAATGTGTCTTGGTATGTTGTTCATCCAACAGTCATGTATTTATTTTTAATTTTTTTGTTATGGTTTCGGTTGAACAATGTGTTATGTCGTATCAATTGATGCGCAAATAATTATAAAATTGCCCTTTCAATACCATCAGTGTCATATTCCCGAATATAACTGTTATACTGAATCTGACTTTGCTTTGCTGTGCGGCGTGTTTTGTCGTTTCGTCTTATCGTTTGTAGTCCAAAATTATATTATTGCCTTTCCATACCATCATTGTCATGAAAATTGTTTGGACGAATATTGTAAAATAATTGTATAAAGTTCGAGATTGCATGTTAGTTACGTAAGAGCTTCACTGTTTGATATCCTGTGGTGTCTGTCGTTGATAGACTATGTTTGTTGTTGTTCTGCGGTTTGCATGTTGTCGACTATTATATTATTTGTTTGTGCGAATGTTCTTGCCAATTAGTGTTTTAGCGATTTTTTTTAACATTGTCATAAAGCGGGAGGTTTGGTTAGCCATTAAACCAGGTTCAACCCACCATGTTTTCTTAAAATGTCCTGTACCAAGTCAGGAATATGGCAATTGTTATCAAATAATTCGTTTGTTTTTGTTGCACTTCGGTGTTCCAGTTGTTTCTTTGTTTTCCTCTTATAGTTGATGTGTTTCCCTCCGTTTTGATTTGTAACCCGGATTTGTTTTATTCTCAATCGATTTATGACTTTTGAACACCAGTATACTACTGCTGCCTTTCTTTAGACTGTACTTGATGTTTGTTCGTGGTAAGTGTAGGCCAATTCTCATACGGTTTAATTCAATTCATACACTCTTGCGTTATGTTACATCTGACTGATGATGGTAAGACAGAGAATGGCCATAACAAAAATGGTGAAAAAAACATAGCACTTCATTCGTCAAGTGAGAAGAGTAACAATACAACACATTAAAAAGAAATTTGAACAAACGGTGCAAAGTACAAAAATGAAATATGTATTTAGCAAAATAAAAAAAATGCACATTTATTGAAAAGAAGGGAGATTTAGATTTCTAATATCAACTAAAATTTAACTTGATAAAGATTTATATTCACACCTAGATTGCCTACTCCGTAAAAAATATTTAAAGATGACGGTTTTTACAATATTTTTATTTTATATAAAATTGATTTCTTTGATCTATCCATCTTCAGGTTAACAAATGTCGACCCTTAGAGTTAAAGTAAAGGTTGAATAAAGGTATGCTTGAAGCATACCTTTATTCAGCTGAGGACCACCTCCGGGTGCGGGATTTTCTCGCTGCGTTGAAGACCCATTGGTGGCCTTCGGCTGTTATCTGCTCTTTTGTCGGGTTGTTGTCTCTTTGACATATTCCCCATTTCCATTCTCAATTTTATTGAATTCGATTTACATTTAAGCGTAAAGATAAAATCAAAATAACATGAATACTGAACTCCAAGGAAAATTCAAAACGGAACGAATGGATAACAACTGTCATATTCGTGACTTAGTAGAGGCATTTTCTTATGTAGAAAATGGTGGATTAAACCTGGTTTTATAGCTAACTGAACCGATCACTTTTATGACAGTCGCATCTTAGCACTGCCAAAAATACTGACAAAAACTTAACAACAATGAAATAAGGACAAGAATAATAGAAAGTAAAATCACAAAAATACTGAACTCCAAGGAAAATTCAAAAAGGAAAGTCCCTAATCAAATGGCAAAATCAAAAGCTCAAACATCTCAAACAAATGGATAACAACTGTCATATTCCTGACTTGGTACAGGCATTTACTTATGTAGAAAATGGTGGATTGAACTTATTTTTATAGCTAGCTAAACCACTCACTTGTATGACAGTCGCATCAAATTCCATTATATTGACAACGATGCGAGAACAAAACAAACAGACACAATAGGTAAAATATGTCAAAAATAGGGGTACAGCAGTCAACATTGTGTATCATCTAAATCACTGTAAAAAAAATGTAACGAAGAAGCACAAAAAGGCATACATCAAATTTAACATCCTCATTTTGCTTTTTTATTATACGATTTTATGTATCTATGTAAAATCCACCCATAAAGGATGGAAGGTTTTAAGTACTGGCGTCACACAGGTAGATATAAAATAATTTTGTCGGGTATGACGGGATACATAAGTACAGAGTCACGTCAAATGGATATCACAAAAAAACAGACTTAACAGTAAAAGTAATATTAATAAAATAAAATAATTTTGTCGTTCAATGTATGACGGGATACATAAGTACAGAGTCATGTCAAATGGATATCACAAAAAAAGACTTAACAGTAAAAGTAATATTAATAAAGACAAATAAAAGAATACTATAACACGTTATTAAGATGATAAACAACGTCAGTACGCAGAAGCTATACTTCAAGACCATCGTGTATTATTTGTGAAGTTGATACGGAATATTTATCAACAAGGTATTGGTACCTTCCGATGAACATTTTTAGAAAAAGGACGAGACGTTCTTTGACATACCCCTGGTTCATCAACTTTCTGCCAGGACACTGATGACGTTTCACAAAGTCTGAGTAGGAGCTGCAAGCTCTTGAATACCGAATAAGTTGGGAAAAGTATATCCCATATGCAGGTGAAGTTGGTATATTAGGTTTATTAATATACTGTTCAAAGTAATTAATTATGATTTTTTATTTTGCAATTCATGTTTACAAATCCAATTCACATAATAAACAGTTTAGTGTATTTACCTTTTTTTGGTACGTTATTAACAAATGTATCAATATTTATTTTTACAAAAAATACAAAAATTACATTTGTATTTCAATACAGGTTTTTGGTAAACAAAATTATTTCCTTTATCATATATCAGAATCATATCTCAAATGAGAAAATTCATTTGTGCAAGAATTAAATGAAGGAATTACTTCTGTAATTATGAGCTACATGCAGTTAAAAAAATTCTTGTTTAAAATGATAAGGAGTTAAATTAATGTACGTATTTCAGAAGGTTTTTGATTGTTTGCATGATTACGAGTTCGTGTTAAAAACGCAATATAAATAGCTCATGTTACAGCATATGACAGAATATAAGACTAGAAGATGTCATGCAATGTCTCATAAAATACTACAAGATCCAGATTTTTTCTTGTCATGATTTAGTTGACTTCTCCTATAGTCTTCTAAAAGTTTCATCATATCCAAGTTATCATTATCTTCAGCAATATCATTTGGCATTTTTCCTTCCTGCAAAAATGAAAAATATATTTTGCACACATAAAGCTAATAAATTGAATCATTTAAACATAAAGAATGTTTGAAGGAAAAACAACTAATTTCTGACTTAAAAAAAATAAACAAAAAGAAATGAAATATATATATTCTCAAAGTTTTTGTCTTCACTGTAGATGTTGAGATCAGAAACATGTAGTTGAAATGAAAAACATTTTAAGTCATGTCCAACTGACAAAAGAGAATTCCAATCACAATAGGCAGAAATGAAATAGGTTTAAACTTAGATAAAAAGAACAAAGTATGCAGTTCACATTTGAATAATTAAATAAAGTTATAAATATGCATTTTTTCCACACAAAGCAACACTTACACATATTTATCATACAGACTAATGTAATGCAAACAAAACTGTTAACATTTATGGTTAGTAACTGTAAAATATGACACTACACGACATGTATATGAAGGGTTAAGACACTTAGGGACAAATAACAGGTCGAAGTGTATAGAACGCTTAGGCCAAAATGAATTGAAAAAGCTTTTCGAAAGGTCAAACCCCTTTGGATTAAATGTCCATTATTCTTCTGTATGACTTGACTAGTAAAAGGAGCAGGTCAAGGAAGCTCATTTTTTGGCATTGAAATTTAAATATGCTATCAAATGCCAAATCTACAATCTCAACTGCTAAAAATGAATGGCCTTACTTCCTGACAAAAAATAAATGCGAACATAAAATATAAAAAGATAAATATAATCAATGATTATTAAAAAAGTTCAATTAGGCAATTCGTGCAGCCATTGTTTACAAAATCAAAACTATATAGAATTATCACAAAAACTTAAACTGTAATAATAAACTATTTTTTGCGTCGATTCAATTTTTCTCCGATAGCAATGGCCATTACGAACGCTTATTGAAATTACTGTCAATTTCCAACTTAATATATTGCATAAATGCAACATGTCTAACAGAAAACCTCTTTACGAAACGAATTAACTTGATAGACCAGTTTTCAAAATAGTAGTTAGTAAAACAAAATAGTAGCAGGATAAAAACAGTAAATTAAAAAAAAAACAATTAAAAACTGTCATACAAGTGGGAGGTTTAGCTAACTGTAATACCAGATTTAACCAAAAAAAATTTTCGGAAAATTCCTGTACCAAGTCATTAATATGGCAGTTGTTTTTCACTTGTTTCGTTCTGTTCACGTTAAATTTCATCGGTTATTGTGGACTTCCTCTTTTTAAATTTGCTTTGGAGTTCGGTTTTTTTGCTATACTTTTTTTCTGTTGTAGATTTTCTTATATTCGGCTTTGAGCGTTCCAGATGAAGTAAATCCCAAAAAGCGCTTCGGACACATTAAATTTATAACGTGTTGTTTTCATTTTTGAATATATTTGGAAATTGAAATATGCTACAAAATATCAACGACATCATAACCATTAGACATATTTCTTTTTTTTGTAAGGTTTAATATATGCAGTTCACAAAATATGAAAAACACATTAAGCGAAATACAGTTCACACACCAATTCACATGAAAATGAATAAACATTTTTAAACATAAAACAGCGCAAAAAAAATATTTTAAAAACTAGAATTAAAACCTCAAATCATTAGTTAACACCATTCGTTTCAAGCGATTTACTATGATATGTCACAAGATTTATCTTCTTTTTTGTCTTTTGGTTTGAGAGTAGTTTTAGTTTTGTCTGGCGGCAACGTCTTTGCGTAGTCTCTAAGAGCTTCAATCATTTCACTGTTTTCACGCTTTTCTGCAATTTGTATTTCAGTTTGACCCTCCTACATATAATTACATTTTGTCTTATAAAAAATGAAACAACAGAATAAAATAGAAAATATACAGCAACTTAAAACAGATTATTTTTATTTACATTTATCTTATATCGGTTAATGTCTATATTGTCATAAAAGATGCTGGTTCATATTCAATTTTTTATTAAAAATTAAACTAGGAGCAAATGTAAAATATTAATTCACGATGCATGATTTCCATTACCTCTTACACAGCAAAAGCTCAAGTGGTTGTTACGTTTCGTTCCGATACTGAATACAAATTTTCAGCAAACATTTAATAAATATGTTATTAATAATCATTGACTAGAAAAACCAAAACCAGGAATCTACTGTCACGTATGTTCTTCTGTGTATATACTTGTTAACCTAAAGCTGAAATGTTCCCCTATTAGACAGCCATTCGACTGTCATTTATTTATATGGAATAACTCTTATTGAAAGGAAGGCGATTTATAATTGTCAAGTCCATATTGGTAGTTGAAGGGGTGACTGCGTTCCTCAAAGTTGGGTTGGAATGAAGGAATCGCACTGAACTGCTATTAATATTGCATGATAGCCGTATCGATGGTTAGTCATTCACTCATATACTTTTGTCTACAAAAGTAACGTTAAAATTCAACAGAAGGAATGCCTGGTAACAAAATTGGGGCATCATGGACAGTGACGGTGTAAACAGAAGATTGATGTTAAAGATCATGCAACGTATCATATTAACATGCATATGCTAACTAAGTTGAAAAAAACATATATCTTGAATATGATTTAGTATTTCATCTATTATTCAACTATAAAAACATGCTTGAATTAGAAAAAAGACAGAAGAAATTTACTATGAAATGAGACAATTTTTGTCTTTTCCCTTTTCTTTTCCTTTTAAATCAGTTTTAGTTTTCTCTGGAGGTGATATTGTCTTTTCGTAATCCTTTAAAACTTCTATCATTTCTTCGTTTTCATTATGTTCTGCGATTTGTAAAAGAGTTTGATCTTCCTGTTCGCAAAATAAATTCAGATAAATCGTTCTCTTGCACAATTGATCAAAACAATCTAAGATGTATAAACACTATATGTATGTTTAGACCTATAAATGTCCAATTTAAATTTGTGAATTGTATGCTGGTTATAACCTAGTGTGTTGAATTGAGACACAGATAAAAATGTAGCATAGTTGATATTTGCAATGAAAAGTGAACGTCTACAACACTTTATAAAATGTGACTTCAATGTTTATTAATGACTATCTACAGTGTGTTGGTGCACTTTTCACTGTTATTTCCCTTTTTTTGCTGTCTCTGACTAATTGACAGGTCACTACTGGTATTGTTGGAAGTCGTATTGCCAAAATCTATTGTTCGATGTTCATATGAGTCTGTCTTATTGGAACGTACTTCTGTCTCGTTACTTTGTGTATTGTTGTCTGGGTTTTGATTTTTTATTCCCCACTGAACAAAGTAAGGAATCTTCTTCCTATTATGTTCTTTCGAGCACAATTTAACTTGACATGAAAGAATACCAGTCAATAAATATATTACTGACACAGAGACCCGTTCAATTTTGCAGAGAGCGTAAATTATCAATGGTTCAATCTAGCTTTATGTATCTTTTCTCAATGAAAAATCAAATTATTATAAATTATAAAACATGTTGTATAATTATTAATAAATTGAGAAAAGAAATATTTAAATTTCGCCATGATACTTTTAAACCTGACAGAAACTTTTGTGAAAAGTTGAATAACTTTTTTTCCACAATTTACAAGAAAGATATTAAATGGGTCCCTACTACTAGTAGTTCAATTAAAACAATATGTCACTATACTCACATTATTAGGAACTGCATATAATGGTTTGTAGCCTAAAATTATTTTTACTGTTCCTAACTGGTCTCTTGCTACTGCCATGTGAAGTGCTGTATTGCCACCCTGAAATACAATCAATGGTAAAACTTCCTATTTTTACTTTAATATAAACTTAATTTCTTGATGAACGGGGAAAATCTTTTCAAATTCAGAGATATTTAAAGACGCAAATTTTCGACAGCATTGATAAAATGTATTTCGTTTTTGAACAAAAAAGGCACAAATTCTTTGCAAACCAACATAAAATACAAAAGGGGAAAACAATTTTCATTCCAAAACAAATGTCTCATTTTGCAACAAGACTTAATTTTGCGGGCAATTACAGCTCAAATGACGTCTTGGTAAAGGTAATATAAATCAAAAAGGAATAATTAGAATTGTCATATACTTTTACCATGTGTTCAGTCTAGTAAATCGATAAATTAAATTGAAATTCAGCAATTATGTTCAATTGATTTTGACATTCGTGTTATATTTTATGTTTTAGCGAATATAAGCTGGTCTATTTAAGCTTACTACTACTCTCAACATTCACTTCTAAAAACTCAGTGATATAAGTGTATTAGTATTTATAATAATGTATATAACATACTGAATAACTGTTACTGACTTTCACAAAAAATTAACAATAACATATCATTAAAATAAGAAAAAGTACTAGTTAATGATTCTTATAGCGACTATGTCACTCGACTATGTTACCGAACACAGATCAGTTTCATCATTGTACAGACAAAGTACAGTCAAAGTACAGTCAAAGTATAGTAAAAGCATTGTAAACATTTGGCATTATTTCATCAATCTCAAAAATACATCTGTTAGGAAGAGAGCATGCACTATAAGTCAAGATATAATTTTAAAAAGAAATACTGGTCAATTCCGAAAAATGAAACTCTTGAATGATTATTAGTGGAGTAATTAATGACTTGTGGTCATGTTCATGGCCTGAAATTGGCATTTGCAAATGAAGACAGGGAGCTACCACGCAACACTCTTCTCTTATTGTATAATAAAAAATAACACTGTATGAATTTCGTGCGTTCGAAGCGGTTTTCCCCAATTCGCCTTTTCAGAATCTAAAGCTTTCTAGGTAAACGTTTTAAAATCGTTCAACAGAACGTTGGGATTGGTTATAATGTCGTTAACAGTTGATATTCAGCCAATGACAAGACTTTATTTAAATTTTAGGAACGAACAATAGTATCCATAGTCTGTTAACGTCACAGTACCCAAATTGCACCGAGTACACAAATTGCATCTATTGAGCAAAAATAGCAGCGGAAATTTTCCAAGTTTTCTCTGAGACTAAACAATTTTTATTTTTATGATTTGACAATATACCTGTCTTTCAGCTTAGGTAAATATATTTAAATATACACAAAACGTTCAGTATATATCAAAAGATGAGGTATTTACTGGAAAAAGTAAAATCTACGAAACATCGCCATGCGACGTCCACAAAAAGTCATCTTTTAAAAATGGGCAACTAAAATATTTTCAAGCATTCATTTCTTAAAAAAAGAATAGTAAGAATGGACTATTGTCAAATTGTTCTTAAAATTTGAAAAAATAAAGCAAAACATCTGTTATTCGATTTTTAGGGATGTTAATTTAAGCATGGACGCAATTTGGGTACTCCTCATTACAGAATCATTGATCATTTGGAGGTCGGTCAAACCCATTTTTCTATGATTCAATATGGATTCAAAATAAAATTGGTGTAAATATATAGTAAATAAGGATATATCTACAAAATAAACACAGAATGATCAAAAATAAACGTAGGTGAAAAAATTGTTAAAATAGATGCAATTTGGGTACCCTCACGTTAGATTCCGAAAAAGAGAAAAAGACCGAAAACGACTGTGTACTTATATATCTTGCACGGTTGACTCAAGTTTATGAAGCTGAAATGACGATGACGATATAGCATTGGAAAAACACTGCGTCTTAGTTGTTAAAGATAGCTAATGTAAATAAGAACATTCTTTATGATAAATATATACACAATATACAACAAGTATTAGCATAGATACAGCAGTTCGATCTAAGAATTTTTCAGCTAGACATTACAAGCATTCAAGAGATGACCAAAACCAAGGTCATATATGTATTCTCACCTCATCATGTTCCTCGCTCTATATAATGAATATAGTCACAAATACAAATTAGAAAAATATACGTATGTGTTATAATTAAGTAGTTTCAGCAATATACAATACTACAAAACTGACAATCTGGTGGATTATTTACAAAATGAGGAATGATTTCGTCCTATAGATCCGTACATTAAAAAATGAAATCATCAGACAGGATGTTGTATTGAATGAAGTAGATTGTATTTCTTATTCTGTTTTTTAAAGTTCATTAAATGACATATGATTATCAAATTTGAGATGGAAATAGGAAATGAATATTAGTTAGCAGTTTTTTTTTCTGTCCGAATTGGAACTTGTCGAATCAAATCTGATTGTTTATAACTTTTTCAACAAGTGATGTTAATTCTAATCATATCTCTTTTTTGATATCTTTTCGTTTTACCGGTAAAGTATATAAGTCTACATACTGCAGTATTGACATGTCAATACTAAGACATGGAATGCAAAAAAGTGTACACACTACATTTCCAGTTTAATCGTTGATAAATCTTTATGGATAAAAGAACATGAGTACATTATGTCTACAGAAACGCTGTGACACAAAAACCAAAAGATGTCTGGAGGTTAATATACCGACTCTTTACTATGTCAAGCTATAAATGGTTGCAAGTTCTGAATAGTTGTGATAAAAAAAATTAACTGAAAGAACGAATATACTTTTTTTTTCGAAAATAAACATCTTTCTTTGTATACTAAATACACTAATGATTATGGTATGCATGCTTACATCTAGAGCTCTTGCGCTGACATCAGCTCCGCGGTTCAAAATATTTGAAACGAGTCTATTTCTTGTTGTTGGATCTGTGCGTAGTATGGCTTGGTGTAACGGGTATAGTCCAAGCTAAACGAGAAAGAACGAAATAACACAAATATATCATTTTTATTATTACTAGAACAATTCATGAAAAAACAACACAATGCATGAAGTGAAAAAAAGTTTGACAACCTTATGGTTTCACATGCAATAGTGAATAATACTTTTTTGTCTAGATTGACCTTCAACAGTAATACTCATAGTCAAATATTTAAAGCGAAGGATGTTAAAAATGATAAAGGCTCTGTATAACCAAAGGGACCACAAAATAGCCCAAACATCTCAGGTCAACGGTGGCTGTGGTAGATGGAATCTTAGTTTATTGACCAACTGTACACTTGAGACAATTATCTTTTAACCAACGCCTGTGGGAAAGCACGGACTACTTGAATAATGATAACAGTGACCAACAGTCCAATAGCACCGGCATCGACCCAGTATTGATAAATACAAATAACAATTGCAATTCCTAATGGCAATGTTGCAAATCTGTCCTCCGTTCTAGAAACCATTTAGTTGTTAAATCTTAACTCCAATAGAATTATCTGGAAACAAATATATCTTTACCTCGTTTGGCTTATTTACATCCAAATCAGGATCATCCAATATATCATCCTCTTCATCATCTTCGTCGTCTTCATCTTCTTTCAAAGTAGTAACGGTAGGCTGTCTTTTAGTTGGCTTTAATTTCAGAAAGAACAAAACGTTAAGTAAACTTTTCGAACAATCTTTCAAGAAGTTGTAACACGCTCTGTCTTGTTCTCTTGTGTGTAGTTGTTTCATTTGTAATTATACCTTATCTGTTTAGTTATTGTAATTCATACAATGTTTACAACAATTGCTTTAATATTTAGTCTAAACAAGGCATCTAAAATGAAAGGATTTAACACGAACATATTACGATCGAACTTTTTGACACTTTTTTACGTTGATTGAACAAGATTTGATTGTTTGTAATTGATTGACTTTTAACAGAGTTCATGTCAATCAGTTCTCCCACATTAAACTAATTAAATCGTACCATTGGAACCTTTGGAGCAAATCCATTTTCACTGGTCAGAAAATTATTTCTAAATTGTATTTTTAAAAGTGGTGTACACAGTAGTTCCTGTCACTTTTTCAAGAGAACAAAGCCATTTCGTTTGTGGTATTTATCATTTACCAAATATTTATATATAAAAGATAGGTCAAAGATACTAAAGGGACATTCAAACTCATATGTCAAAAACAAACTGAAAAATTTAACGCCATGGCAAAAAACGAAAAAAGATTAAAGATTAAAAGACAAACAACGGTATTCTAAACACAACATCGAAAAGCAAAGACTGAACAACACGAACCCTGCCTAAAACCGGGAACACCACAACAAAAACTATTTATATAGTAACTCAACAACAATCTATTACTACCAGCCAAAAGGCAATGTACAGAAAGGCTCATGACCAGAAAAAACAAAAACCGAACAATGGTTAAACAAAACAGATTATTGAACACTGAAGATTAAGCAATACAAACATAGTCGAAACTCTGCGATTAAAGTAGATTAAGTAGAGTAAACAGTGTTTTATAATACATGTTGTTGTGGATTAAAATTAATCCCAATCCTAGTTTACCAATATGACAGATTTCGTAGATCACCCACAATTTTGGCAATATCAGATGACTGTGATATTTCATGTATGGATACAGACTGTTTTTATGGCATCGCGAAATCAAAGCATCCTATAAAGTTGTTTAACAATTTCAAAGCAGTCTACAGCTATCAAATATTTTTATTGACTGTCCAGTTGCTTTCAAAATCTAGACAGTTTAAACAAAATCATTTGACATTGAAAAAATGAGGCCGAGGACTACCAAAACAGAAACATCATACCATCAGGACTCTATTCATAAGGTGAAAATTATTAGCTATTCTATTTTCTAACATAAACTTTACAAAAATAGTAGCAATGATGGACGATGAACACATAGTCGATTATGTACAAAACTAAAGATTAAGCAACACCACAATAAAATCAAAAGGGTGAAATTAACTCGATGCTCCGTTAGTGTAACAACACAACAACAGCGATAAGAAGAAATTGGTATGATAATGCTTGTGCGAAAGGGGTTTTCTTTTAATTTACAATGCAGATATAAATCAATTTCTATTTTTTCTGTTTTTCTGTAAAATAGGTAAAATAAATTTTCAAAAAGCCTAAATACACAAGACTGCACATATAAGCACAAATAGAAAAAAAATATTAAAAAAATGGAAATCTTATTATTTTAAATGAAATCATCTACAAAAAAAAATAATAACTCTATTGAATATCGTTACATTTTTCTTCTATGCCAATGCACACACTAATCTTTGAAATATAATCATAAAAAATCGGTCTTAGGAAACCAACTGTTATCAAACTATGATTATATCAATTTTGTGGTGAATAGTTAATGTGTCTTTTTTTCTTTTGCTATTTTTTTCATCGTGACAGTTAGGTTTTATATCATGATATGAAAGACATATGTTGTTTAGATTAGTCTGTGTACCGATTACTGCAAACTCAAGTACAGGTGGTATGTCACATATGCAGTTTGCCTAGGTTGCTTTTTATAAGAAAAAGAAAATATGTCAACATTTTCTTTAGGGAAACACAAAAGATTTAGCAAACTTTTAACCATTTTGACACAGTTAGTCCACTCGAAAGCTGAACAAACACAAATAAGGACAACATATCTGTATAATAGGTATTTCAATTTGATATAAAATATACTAAATTGTGAACAACATTAAGCAACATATATCAAATAAACTGACAAGCCCTCACCTGCTGCATCAGCTGAGTTTTCTGAGATATACAAGAGGAAAAATATGAGTTGAATTAAATATATTGTGAATTTTTAACTATGCATATGAAAGAATGTAGGCAAAAGCACTAAACAGTATCATGCAAATAATATTATACATATTAACCTATTGGGTATTGTTAAGTCGATGCTACAATGGTATAACCTACTCTTTCCAGCATAAACATGACTTTACTTCAAATAAATCGTGATATTGAACATTTATTAAATGAATTTTAAAAAATACTTTAGAGACCTAGAAAGAAAAGCTGTTTTATAACTTTTTAAACACGCATGTCATTATTTCAGTAAGAATAAAATATGTTTCTAAAATAACATTCATCAGGTACGCTCAAGTTCAAAAGTTTGGAAAGAACAAAATATAAAATGTTGAAGAGCATAAAAAGCTTAAAAACACAACCACATTTAGTTTACGAAAGTTATAAAATGTTATAAACCGAAAATTTGTAGACAAAATGTATCATTTGAATTCGGCCTATACCAAAGCAATGAACGGATAATACTGTTATAACTATTGTCCACCAGTAGCGGTACCAACTCAATGGTAGTAAATACGTTTTTGATTTTTTAGCGCACTTGTTCCTGAAATTTATATATTGCTATGCTATCACAGGGTTTTAATTATATTTCATATTATTTATTGCAAATGTGCTAATATAAAGTTTGGTCAAATTAGAAAATATTGTGCATAGATAACTTTACAAACACCGTAGTAAAATAAAATAAATGCTACCTAGAAACACCATGTGCAAAACTGAAATAAAATTGTTGTTGATATAAAGTGGAAAAAAATAAGATTTGATATAAATGTGCTAAAAGCAAGATATGTTAGATTATAGTAGACCGTTACAAGAAGGCTGTGTATTTTTCATTTTACCTCTTTTACAGGGTTTACAACTAGAGCAGGTGGTTCGTCCTAAATAAAAATGAAATGTTGTAGATTGTTCGGATTTTTTTCTTTTTTCGTAATTTATTAAAATTTACTTCAAATATTGTTGATTAATACAAGTAAAGCATTAGAACATTTTAGTAGGTAACATGTGAACACATTGGTACGCAAAGACAATATTGATAACTTTGAAAACAATATCATTAAATCACAAAAAAACAATAAATATACTTCAATTCCCACTTTCAAAATGAATAATGAAATACACTAAAGATGAAATTCAATGAAAAAAAATGATAAAAGTAAAACCAACTCATGAATTACATGATGAGCACAAGAACACAATCAGAATATAAATGAAATGATTTTATTTTAAATCATCTTGTCATATTTTGTCATCTTGTTTTATTCCGGTAACGACTAATATGATTCACAACAATGGCTATTCTTTTTTGTTTATTATATTTTATTTCATTTCTTTTCTTTATTTTTTTTCTGCTGAAACATTTCTTACAACAACGGTTATCAATGCTTTTCTTGTTGTTTTTTTTCTAAAAATGCAGAACACAAAGAATATCCAAACTGTTATAGCAATATTGTTCAACAGTTACAAAGTATCAAGATATAAGAATGCTAATGTAGTTGTCAGTAATGCATAAATACAGCAAACATCAGTAATGTAACCAATACAATAACATGCAAAACAAACACAACTTACGCGAACTGCACGCTTTAGTGCTTCCTAAAATGTACCATTCATTAAAACTTACTATACTTATGTGAAAAAAACCAACTGGAAAACAAAAACACTGACTTAATTTACCACTGAAGAAATCGTAAGATTTTTTTATGTTAAAATTATCAAATAGACACCCAATGCAAATTGAATTAACAAAAATATGTAATTCTTTCTATATAATTATATATATAATTATACAAAACGTGGTCTTTTAAAAACAAGGTAAAATTATAATTTTAATAATTTTAAGCTATTAGTATATATATATTATTTATTTGAAGTTCAAATTCTCAAGACAAGAGTATAGCGCTTAATTCCACTATGTCAATATCAACTTTTGACAAAAAAAAATCATATTGGAATAAATTCATCTCAGACATATATACTTCTGAAATTCGATGAATTAAGCAATATTTATGTTCAAAATAGAACTTGCAATTGTATCAAATTACGCTACATAAATCACAACAGACAAATGTAATGAAGTGAATCATAAAACAAACAAAAAAGAGTGAATGTTGAAGAATATAACCAACATCCTCACCAAGTCTCTACGTGGGGTAGTTTTATCTGGATTATTCTAAAACATTAAAAATCATGTTCACTTTCTTCTTACTATATGATTGCTGATGAAAAGTACACTTACTTAAAACATAGAAAAGTAAACGTATACAATTCATCTCGGGGAAAAGCTATACTTTTCATCAAATTAGAAATTCCTAAGACATTGTTATATATATCACTGTTTCAGAATATCAAGGATTATGTGCAATTTCATTGTTCCTACTCCAAAATTTGAATAACGCTGTTGACAATCATTTTATGCGACTATCATACAAGTGAGAGGTTTAGCTAGCTATAAAACCAGGTTTAATCCACAATTTTCTACATAAGAAAGTGCCTGTACCAAGTCAGGAATATGACAGTTGTTATCCATTCGTTTGATGTGTTTGAGGTTTTGATTTTGCCATTCGCTTAGGGACTTTCCGTTTAGAATTTCCTCGGAGTTCGGTTTTTTGTTATTCTACTTTTCACAAAGTTTTGGTGTACGCTTAACTTTGCACCAAAAAATAAGTTAGTCTATTAGTATTTTTTAACAACTAAGAAATCATATTCTTAAAATCGCAACTGTATTGGACATGTTGGATGTATTCAACAATTCTGAAATGAACCACTAGAAGAAAATTTTCCCATTTGTTTTTTTTCCCTCGCTGCATTCTATAGACAAAAAAAATATATCAATGGCCATGTTTTTTTTTTCATTGTAAGTGCTGTCATGCAGAACTGTCGGTAGATCGGTGGAGGATCATAATATGTCTAAATATGTATATGGTAGTAAAAACTTCAGATTAGATGTTATTCAATCTTACTGGTCCAATGGTAAAAGAGAAGATCTTCATGCGAAACGTGAATTCCCCCCAAAACTATACGTTGAAAATAAGTAAACACAATATTTGGTTAAATGCAAGAGATCATGAGATCAAGAGGAATTATTTAATCAAAGTTGTAAAAATAAGGCGATGTGGTATGATTGTAAATGAGACAACCATCCACCAAAGTTCAAATGAAGTTAATGTAAACAATTATATGCTACGACCTTAAAAAAAACATACCGTGTAGTCGGCTATAAAAGGCCAAGATATGACATTGTGATTCATATCGATATCAATAAAAGTCTTAAATTGGTGTTTTACTATTATTCAAGACATCCTGTGAATTATTTTACATTTATTTCAGCAAAAATTATTCTCGTAGATTAAAGTTTTAAAACTAAATTACAACGAAGGAAGACAAAATATATGACGGTTATATCTCACGATGTACAAAAGGTTCAGGTGTGATAAAAATGCTACCAAACGTGGATTATGGTGATTTCTCAAAACGAGGAGTGAATGTGAACTGTCAAAACTCTTACCAATGTCCTGTGTGGGGTATTTATCTCTGGGTTATTCTAAAAGTTTATATAAATGTATGTTTTACATTTTTTCTAAACAGGGGTTAAATGCTTGATTATTGTTTTTTTTCAAATATTCTGATAAATGTTTGCTTTTTTTCTGAAAAATATAGCTTCATATATCTGCAAAAAAGCACCGCAATCTAATTCAGAAAACGATTGTAAACATATTTTGGATTATCAAGTGAAAAAATATAATTACATTAAATAAAGAATTTATTCATTGCAGAATTTCAAATGATGCAAATCATGACACATGTAGATAAGAAAAAAAGACAAAAACTAAAATCAAAGATTATTTAGTGTATACTTCAAAAAGACACTCTGTTTACATGTTTTAAGTTACACCGTAATACATACAGATATATAGCAATGAAAATATCAAAACTCACACACTGCTAACAACTGTTAAGAAGTGATCGTCTGTGATTTAGTTTTTTGACATTTGACAAAAGATACAGTATCATAAACCATGATTCAAAGCACTGCTTTTACAAAACCCAAAAAGTTAACGCATGTTGTTCATTAGGGCAAGCGGTAGCTGCCCGATGCGTAGAACACAAAAGACAGAGTTACACCCTAACAGTACATTTTCGATACAAAAGTTCTTCTTGTATTTTATTGTGTTATGGTATTTTCAAATCAGTGTAATTGATCTAAAAGATTTTTTAAAATTTTCCTTGCTCCTTCTGTTATTATGTTTTCATTGTGTATTCGTAATCTAAATAAATAGGTTATGGTTGAGGTCTCATGAATTAATTAACATTCGCCTCTTGATTAATGTGACTGTCCAAATTCAGCTATTTTCACTGTGAGTGTCTAATTCTTGGCCTTATGTTGGAATTACTCAAAACAGGTTTAAAATCGACTGGAATTATAACTTGGTTTTCAATATATATGGCCATTTGCGAGATCATATATGGTGAACGTGTGTTGTTGGGTTACTTTCTCGTTAGCCTTTACTATAATTTCTCTTTTCACCAATACATTATTCTTACGGGTTTTGATTCGCACTAAGAATTAAAAAAAATAAGTACATTTAAAGGTGAAATTAGAAAAATAAAACATAAATTTGAACTGTTATTAAGCACTGTGATTTATTTCCTATTGTGAATGAGGTGGGTGTGATGGGTGTATTATTTGTCTTACCACTGGAGCTTTTCGTGGTGTATCGAGATTCTTTGCTTTCTACAACACATTTTGTTTTTATTTTCGACAACACAAGTATATTTGGTACATTTTAGAAAATACTTTAATTTGTATATAAAATAACTGTTTGGTAAACAAAGCTTTGAAATTACCTATGAGTTATATCATAGATAATGCAAAATGCCAATAAGTTAAACAAGGAATTTATAATATTACAAATCCAAGACGTTAAAGTAAGCAGTATTAAATAAGCCAATTAGTGTCGCCAATTATTCAATGCAATACGTGAACGATACCTAAGGCTGCAATTTCAATGCATTTGCTTGCCGTTCATAAACTATGATAAACATAATATCACATAACAAATGTACAAATGCTCTTTTTTTAGTTAATATTTTACATGCATGTTAGAGGAAAAAAATCAAGACTATATTTGCCTTACCGCTGGCACGAAATGTTCCTTTTTCTCCTACAAAATTATATAATAACTTAACTTCTATAATATTTTCTTTTTGTTAAACAAATATCATCGTCGCAGAAATTACTAAGTACATGACCTCAATTATGGTTAAATAAGCATCAAACTGTTGAATAAATCTAATATTAGTTAACCCCAGTGAGCAAAGAAATAGGGGATTGATGACAGATAACAAAAATCGAATTAGGACACAAATCATGGTAACAAACTAAACCAAGGGAATAGCATGAGCTCTAATAGAACCTAGACCGGGTGTGTCGGCATGGTAAGCGCCTCCTTCAACGCATGCATCACCTGCCATTGCGAACCCACGCACAAAACAGTTGGTTTGAAGGTATAAGGTCAATACAATTAGGGTATTCGTATTGTCATCTTGCACTTCAATAAAACTATTTTTCATGAAATTCTATTGTCTAATACAGCAGAAAAATTGGGGTCAAAACTCTAATTTGGCAATAAAATTAGAAAGATCATATCATAGGGAACATGTATACTCAAGTTTCGAGTTGATTGGACTTCCTTCAACATTATCAAAAACTACCTTGACCAGAAACTTTAACCTAAAGCCGGACATACGGACGGACGAACGAACAGACGCACAGACCGAAAAAAACATAATGCCCCTAGGTGGAGCATAAAAAATCTAAAGTGTCCACCTAAAAAAAAAGCCAAAGAACTAACAAAAAAAAAAACAAAAAAAACAAATGAAAAACGAATCAAATCGGTTTATTTCATGTTAAAGTGAACTTTTAAAACAAAGAAATAAACAAAGTGAATTTTAGTGAACATCTATTCTTACCGGTGTAGTGTGAGAGTTCTTTTTCGTCTACAATATTGCAAGATTATAAATAAACAAGGGAAAGCAATATTTTGATCTGCTTGATAGGGCTAAGCCTAGGTGAATCAACAGTAATCAATTAAACTACTGATTATAATTGTATAATAATATGAAGTCAAATTAATACGATAACACGTATAATTTGGAATCATTTTCTGCAATTTATAATAATCCAATTAATTTGTAATTGCAACTGATTTTACTTTTTTCTGTGCTGAAATTTCTTCTATTCTGATATCGTTGTACAATTTTATAAGCAAAAATGAAGAGTAAGGTATATTTTAGCAATTCGACCAGACGATTTTGGGTTATTGGTTCTTAGTCCAATATTTACTGGAAGTTGTGATGATATTAAAAAACCGATGCAGATAAAAAAAAAAAAAACAATGTACATATGTTCAGGCTTTAATGAAATCTTTATTTTGTTACAATCATACGATATGTTTTGTTTCTTTGTTTGCCAAATCTACCAATTTTATTGGATATTATTAATGTTGATGACAATAGATAGAAATGCTAAATATTTATTGTAGTATATAAAGTTTACTTGAAAGTCCTCTTTTTTTAAATTTCTGTTAAACATGCTTAAAAAATTGTGTAAAGCTATGCGAAAAAGTTATAAGCTGGTATATAATATCAGATTTAGAGAAGATACTCCAAAACGGAACACATTTATTGGTACTGCAGAATATATGTATAAGTTCGAGTACGGTTGTAGGAAATAAGGTATAAACCTTTTTTTTTGGTCTTTAATACCATTTTTCAGATAAAATATTCAACAATGAAATTCGAATCTGAGAACATAAAAAACACAACCTACAAATATATAATTTGTCAAATGCATTTGAAGTTATTTACGCAAGCCTGCTTTGGTGTCATATAATTCAAATTAAAGCAATGCTTTATAACTTTGATACGATGATGATACCCTCGGGGTATACTAGTCTACCAGCAAGGGTTTTGTCTCAGTGTTAGAATATTACTGTGATGCTTCTTGGGAGCTTTTTTGTATTAACCTTGATCGGTAACGTTTTACCCAAACATTTGAAAACCTAGGTAGTGCAAGTACTTAAGACGTGAGGGGCTATATATGACGAAAGGAGACTTACACAGAATATCCCAAAAAATATAAGGTGATTCGATTTTACAACAACATGAATACAATTTCATTAAAAACGATACTTAAAATAACTTCATAATGTCCGTCAGGTAGACTACAAATAGAAAGACAAATACTAGTAATATCAAGGATCTTCTACTCCAGGAATAGATTACCATAGCTGTATTTGGAAAAACCTTTATAGGTTTTAGGAATGCTCTTCAACTTCGAACTTTATTTGGCTTTTTTAACTCTTCGAGCGTCACTGATGAATCTTTTATCGACGAAATGCGCGTCTGGCGTACAAAATTTTTATCCTAGTATCTATGATGAGTTTATGACAACGTCATAAATACAAACAAAAGGACAAAACAAAACAATTAAAACCACATACGGTGGTTGTAGTATAATTAAAGGTAACAGTAGTTAACTAATGTTTCTTGTATATCTATTTCGGATGTATACAATCAAGAGAAGTTACCTCAGTGAATCTGAAAAAAGACAAACGTCTCAAATTTTCCCGATATGAACCGGATAAAAGTATGTGAAAACAAACTTGATAAAACAATCATTTAAAACATGCCAAAATCTATGCTGCAAATAAAGGTATCAAGCAAATATTTGACAAGAAATAAAAAACAATATTGCCGTTTAAAAAGTAAAATAAGCAATTTATATAGAAGATTTGTGCACAGATTTGGAATGATCTGAATATTTAGATAGCAAAAGACGACGGTGCTGATAGAAGGCAAAATATATATTGCTGTTGCATGCGGAAGAGCAGCTTGCAAATCGAGGAAATATGCAACTAGAAGATTTAAGTACAGAATGATTTATTCATGAAATGAATGCTATAAAAACATCTTTGATAGTATAACCCAAATAAACCAATATGTGCTGAAATCAAAATATAAAATATCTTTCGTAAAGGAAATTGAAACAACTGTGTGTTTCTTTATCATGCAAGTGCGACGTCTTACCTTGGGAGTTACCATAGTAGGTTCTTCATCGTCCTATAAGTATTCTAGTTCATTAGAATTGTTTTCACTAATCATACTTAAAAATTTATACATGGAAAGTTGTACATGTTTAAAAAAGTTTATTGCATATCATGTGGGATTTTTTCTTCTCTTTCACACGTCATATTTTGCATATTGAAATTTGTATATCATACAATAACATAGTTATTTCCTCCATATTAGCTGAAATGATTAGCTAAAAGACAGAAATTCATTTCAAGTACCTCAGGGTAAAATTGTATTGAAAAGTCATACATGTATACTGAAGAAAGGGCTAAACTATCAAACAAGTAACAGATAAGAAACTGAAAAAGAAAACCAAAGAATCAGTCAGAAAATATACGTCAAATACATTAAGGTCAATCACTCACAAGATGATTTTTTACATGAAAGTCTACATATAAAGCAATTGAAATAGAGCAAACCATCTTACCGTTTCATCCTATTTCAAAATTAAAAATGAACAAAATGGAATACTTATATGATTACATAAATTATATTCTTAACGACGACGAGGTTTTTTTTAACGAACTTGATTATTACCCATGAGGGTATTGCACGGTCTGCTAATATTCTTAACCATCAGTTTTCGAACATTGAAAAAATAGAGAATTGGTTGTCAGTTGACATCCTTATAGTAAGTCGGCCTTTCGTGATATATACTTATAAATAAAGCAATAACAGTTGAACAATTTTTTGGGGTCCCCAAACAAAAAGGGGGGGGGGGGATATTTTGTACAAGCAAAAAAGAATACAAATAAAAAAACCTTTCATATTTAGACCTGAACGAAAATTATAGCGCAAATTGCATTTAAACAAATAAGCTTGCTAATGTTAAAACGAGTTAAAATGGAGAAACGAGGAGCTGACAGATGGAGAAGGGAGTCAAATGCATAGCTCATGTTGCAATGGTATACTATAGGATACAAAAACTGAACTAGGAACTGGCATCAAACACTAGCTGTAGATCAAAATTATAATATCTGTCTTTATTTAAAAATCTGCATGTTCTTTCAAAAAACATATTTGACTTTAATCTTCACCGAACTTACCGATAGATGACCAGCTCTGAACTTTCGAATCAGTTTAACTATGTCTTTGTAATCTCTTAATGTAGCTATAGCAAAAGCATCATGTCCGTCCTATAATTGGAAAAAAAGAGATGTCTGTGAAAATAGATGTCTGTTTGGTTTCATAATATTTTTTTAATGTTATCTCACAGACGTATATAAGACATCTTCTTTCAAACAGATGTACGAAGATCAATTTTGTTTACACCAATGTTTGGTAATATCATTATCGGGGAAAGGTGAAAAAAGATAAGTTGTATTTTTTTGTTCATGGCTTGCTTATATTCTCCGTTGATAAAACTAGATATTATTGAGAACTAAGATTACTCTTGCCTTTTGCAGGCAAGAATGACTTGGGGTTGATTTTGATATTCGTTTTAGTCCATTTTGGTTATATAGTTCCTGAAGTATTAAAGCTTGGCATATTGGTTTGAGTTAGCATGATGAAGATGAATCTAGAAAAACGCTTCGGACATACACAATCTATAAAGTGTTATTTTCATTTTACTTTTAGTATTTAGTTTTTCCCATTAGCATCAATAGACTATTTTCGTATTACCGACTTTTGACTCCGGATTATATAATTTGTCGACTGGTTACCTTGGACATCATGGTACCAAGTCAGGTAAGAGCAAGCTAAAGAAGTAAAACCAAGCTTTCAATCGGTACAATTTTGGGGGAAAATTACCTGGTTAATATTTTTTTTAATACAAAATCATCAGAAAACAGTAAACTTTTCCCTCAAATTACACCGATTATATGTTTGATTTTACTTATTTTGGTTGCTCTTACCTGACCGAGTACCATGATGTCCAAGGTAACCAGTCGACAAATTATAAAATCCGGAGTCAAAAGTCGGTAATACGAAGATAGTCTATTGCATTTCAAATCACTTTTTTGGAAAATCCAAAAGTTTGGCCACAAAGTATCTAACCTTTGCCACATGATTCTAAACAAGGATTTTAGCAAATATTCTCCGTTGGTTACTAAGTTACACTACAAAATCTTTGAGTTCCAAATGAATTTTGTCTATTACTCTAGTAATAATTCATTATGTAATTATTATACATTTTTATGGAAAAGGTATTGTGTGGGTTTTTCTTTCAAATATCAGATTCTATATTTCTACTTTTCATTATTATACTACTTTGAAGAGTGTACGTACCAAATCCTTGACTGTAGAAAGTGCACCTTTCTCTAAAAGTTGGTTTACAATTTTGTACATGTTTCCACTTTCTCTAAGACGTTGACTTTTGATAGCTAAATTTAAACAGTTATCACCTTCCTGTAGTAAAACATAATAAAATATTTCATGTTTTCAGTTGTTGAGTATTTTGTTTCTTTATATAAATTCTATCATGACATAATTACTCAATGGCATTTTCCTTGTTTGCAATATTATCAACTAAAGACGTCCATAACAAGCCTTATATACCTATATGGAGTTATTTCCTTTCAGAACGATAGGTCTTTCTTTGAAGAAACAACCCGGACGATACCATTTCAATGAAATATGCTTCTGTCAACGTGTATGTATGTTTGTTCCGCCAAACAGAAGTTCATAATATATGTTCCTGTTGGATACTCTATATACTCTATACCCTTTATTCCGTTAGGAACAAATACTGTAATATTTTTTCCTATTGGAATTAATATTCCAGAGTATTTCTTCAACTTGGAACTTATATCATGAAGATACTTCTATTTCAAAACACTTCAAGTGATATACAAGTACATTATTTATTTAAGTGACAAGAACAGATGGCAATGTTAATAAACATAAACAATAAGTGTGTTATTAACCCTTATAAGGAGTTATTTCCCTTGAAAAATTATACACAATTTTTGAAAAATTCTTTTTCAAGAACCGGAAGTCGAAGAGACTTGGGACCTTTTCCACTAATCTTTAATTTATGTGACCTTTCATTTGCACCCAAGGTCAATGGTCACTGAGTGCAAAAAAAAATTATGCTGCAATTTCAAGCTTACATATTAAGAAAACGATAAAAGTTTGCTGCATCGACGGGCTCTACATTTTATACATTAAGCTCAAAACTGTCCGACCGTCTGTTCAAAAGTTACAAAGAGATAATTCTTAAAAGTAAAGTATCGTGTGTAGATCTTTTTAAAGGTAACAGATATCAATCTACTATAAATTGGAAAAATCATCAGTATTTTAAGACCTTCAATTTGAGGTCAATGTCAGGTCATGATGAAATTTTACCTTGACCTTCAAAGTGTGCTATGACCTTGACCTTGTGATATTTGAAAGGTCATGTTGTCTTGTTTTATTTGTTACTTTTCAAGGCAGATTACATTCAAAGCGCATATTGAACAGTTAAGAAGGGTATAAGGCGTTTGGAACTATTTAAATTTAAATTCTATCTAAACTTACATAATCTCTGAGATTTGGATCAGCTTTTGATGTGAACAATAATGGAAGAATATTTTCTGGTGGAAGCTTATAATGCGTAAATAGGTAATGTATTGCACCAGCCCCATGCTGAAAAATATAGATAAGAAAAATGTTAAATACACGTTATATCAAACTTATTCCACAAACGAAAAATGTAAATAAATTCAATTTAATAAAGATGGGGAAAGTAATTGTGTTTAATGCGCAAAATTGAGCCATGAATTAAAAATTTTATGAAAAAAATGCACTTATTTTGCGCCACAGCTACTTACCTCATTTACATAATTAACATTAGCACCGTTCTTTATGCAATCTTTTGCAACATCTTCCTTACTATTCATGACAGCCTCCACTAGTTTTGCCTTAAAATAAAATATTTAAAAGTATATAACATCGTATAAGTTATGTAAGGTTATAGCCACGATAGCTAATTATACCAGGTTTAATCATTCATTTTCTTTAGAAAATGCCTGTACCAAGTCAGGAATATGACAGTTGGTGTTCCATTCGATCCGTTGGTTTATATAATCTATCGTTTGATTTTGTCAGGGCTTATAGACTTCCCCCTTTTTGGATTTACCTTGTGGTTCTGCACTTTTTTTATATTCATTTTTCTGATTAAATGATTGATACTAATTCTAATACGATATGTACCTTATTTCATTGGCAAGTGCCATGGCAACCACAATGTTTATACATACATAAACCCGTCCCATGACGTATTACAAAAACTTAGCAAAGATACCAGGCTGAATAATTGATACTCGTTGTTATCTTATTTTCATGATTTGATTTTATAAATAACATGGCTTCATGAAGAATTTAATACTTTCAGTAACTTCACTTACACCATACATTGCGCCAATGCCTTGCTCGTAATATTTTCTTGCATCTTGCGCACTTCTACTACCATCTAAAACATTGGCTAGTTCATAGTATCCTAGAGCTATTGCCTCGTCATAGGGTGAACGTAAATGCTGAAATATGGAGTTTAGCAGTTTCAACTGGTCTGAGGTTATTGTGCATTGGAGCATGAAGTACAATCTTAGGAAAATTTGCAAATCAAAGGAGACGTAGCAAATCGTTATTATTTTTATCATTATCATTACCATTATCATACTTCAAAACTTAAGTCGGCTTTAAATTTAAGTTAATACTCTTCTAGTTAAAATTAGTGGTAAATAAATTTAGAAAGACAGAATAAAAAATATAGCTAAAAGCTAATTGATATAAAAATAAATTAAATACATGTATTTCATAAATTTCAAAACTGCTGACATGAATAATTTTCCTTACCCGATTTCTAATGAACACATCCGGTTTATATTCCAGTATTTTAAGTATTGTCGGAAAAGCTATCCGAATAATATTATGTCTTGGAATCAGGTGAAGAATCGTGTCTTCGTCTGATTTAGTTTGTGCATCAACGTCACTTCCGCTCTGTAACAAGAAGCCTATAATTTCTTCTACATCCTCCCTTCCGCTGCATGCAACAATATGCATCGGCATCATACCGTCCTGAAACAAAAGTAGGTTGAAAACAGAATATATTTAAAGAAAAAAATAATGATAAACTTCATCAACGAATTTGGTAAAATTTCCATAGCAGATGCCAAAGACGGAAGGTAAAACTGGGACAAAAATAGAAGTCAGTAAAAGCCTGTATCAAATATCAAACTGTCGATGCCTCTGATAAGAAACGACCATTACAGGAATTCTGAAAAGGTGGGGCTTTTTTCACGGAAAATAATAAATGATAGAATGTGCATGCATCAAACATTTTTAATACAGGGGAGAGGATGACTCCCCTAAATTTGCAACTTCTATTAAGGTGTACAGGCAGACACCCGATATTTTTAAAACACAAATACAGGTATTCTATATTTTTTTTAAAAATATATCCACATTCTACTTTTCTCTCACATTAAAATCACTTCAAATAAAAAAAAAAGTTAAATATGCTCTTTCTATGTTGTGATGTTACTATCAGGTTAGGGTAAAGGTTGGCGCCTGTTAAAACGTTTAAACCCGCTGCATTTGTTTGCACCTGTCCTAAGTCAGGAACCTGTTGTTCAGTGGTTGTCGTTTGTTGATGTGGTTTATAAGTGTTTCTCGTTTCTCGTTTTAATATAGATTAGACCGTTGGTTTTCCTGTTTGAATGGTTTTACACTAGTTATTTTTGGGGGCCCTTTATAGCTTGCTGTTTCGTGTGAGCCAAGACTCCGTATTGAAGGCCGTACTTTGACCTAAAATGCTTTACTTTTTACGGGTTGTGACTTGGATAGATAGTTGTCTCATTGGCACTCATACCACATCTTCTTACATCTATTTATATGCATAAATGGCTAAGTTTTTCTATTAAACATGTATTATAACATAATACTTTTTTAAATCCTAAATTGTATCGAAATCTACAGAAATATGATACTATTGGGTTATTGTCTTCTGTACACTTATCTACCAACAGCTTTTCCGTATATGTTGTGACCTTAAACATATGACCTGTCACTAGAACTTCGGCAGCCACACAGAACAAGTGCGAGGGCAAAACCGTGAGAAAAACGTAGAAAGAAGATAATGTCAATGGATTTGAAAGAAAATTTTTAATGCACCAAATCTTATAACAACGTTAAAAAAAAGTGAAATTAACAAATCGGAATGGACAAAAAATTAATAAAAAAAACCAAATAAAATCGCTCTATCATTTCACTCATTTTTCACTTGCACTATAATCCTGTGTTGCTTGTTTATCAGTGTCATGATCGGTTAAATTGTGCCCAAAACCCGGAAGTTAATTAGCAGCATAGATTTCTACCAACGACCACTGAATGAGTGTACATCCAGGTTATACGAGGAATTCTTTTTCAGTAAATCATAATTTCATTTCAAATACCTTATCTCAAGTTTATCGTTCAACTCATTGTGTTTATTAATACTAAAACTTTTGATTCATCATTAATTGTTGGATACCAAATTTCGTGGGTTTCGCGGGTACAGGTGAACCACGAATTAAAACGTTCAACGAAATACAAATTTCTATCAGGTTGCATGCAAACTTTGGCAAAACCACGAAATCACATATCCACGAAAAGGCAAATTTTTCGCAATCCACGAAAATTGGTACCCACGAAAATAAATAAATCCACAGTATCTCATAAAATCTTTTAGTGTTTGACAAATCGATGACATACCTTTACATATTGCGAAGCACCGTCCTGTCCAAGACAATCTTTAATATCTTTCAAGTTTCCTTCCAGACAAGCATCGTGAAGTTTTCTCTGCAAAGCAAATGTCAGAATTATCAATCGAGTAATATTGATATTTTGTATTTTGTAAATAGAATAGGGGGAAACTGTCAATACCTTTTATATGAGACTCGTATCATATCTTTCCTTCTGCTTTTTATTCTTAATTTTAACCAAAATTCACAGTTTTAGTGTCTTGAGCATTCTGGTAATATTTAAAAATCATTAAGCAAAGCATTGTTGTCGATTAAGAACAATCTCAACCATAATTATTTAGCCAGTGACATAACGTCATCGCTTTTTTATGTACAAACAATATAATTCCCCTTAGTTTAGATTGTGGAAAGCCAAATTGCCATCTTGTTCGTTACTGCACGTTAGATAGAAAGATGTTGGGTCTATGACAATGTGACAGTAACCCGAGGACAAACACCATCTAAATACATCATAAATAAACAGGCTTCAAAAATAGAAAGGTGCCTTTACAATGATGTCAAGCTCTTAGACTAATATGCCCGAGTCTATAAAAGTCCTGAATAAATTTAACAAAAAAAATCCAAGATCTGCCATCAACAACTAATTCTCCATACCAATAAAAATTAGAACAAATGGTACCTACTCACGAGTTTCCCGACTTGGGACAGACGTGTTTTAACAACTCACAAACAACATGAGATAATTCGAGCATCACTGACAAATCTTACGATGGATTGATGGTTGGTTGCTTAACATCCAGTTGCAAATATTTCATGCATGTTCAGGACAAACAATTCTCATGAAGACAAAACGCGTGTCTGATATGTTAGAAGATAATCCTGATATCTTTTATCATCTTATAGGTTAAAAATATACTAATATTATAAATATCAACATACGGAACAGACGTTTGTACACAATACAAATATCGATTGAATAGGGTCTTGAACTCTTGAAAAAAAAACACAACATTTTTAAGCATAGTGTTGAACCAGAGACAGCTAGCTTTTATTTTTAAGTCATTCTACTCATGAAGAAAGTTAGTGAAATTTGGTTGGAATACATTATCTTTAAAAAAAAAACTCTTTTATACCCTAAGAGAAATCTAAGTTCATGAATATGACAGTTTGAACAAAGGTCTCGTGGAAAGACTCATTTAGGTGTCAGTTTGACTGTTATAAATTACCCAGTAATATCGAGATTGATTTGGGTATAAATAATTTATTTACTGGTGGACGGATGGATGCTAAACGGCCAAAGCAAAATATTACATCCATATTAAGAACGATCGGTTTTTTTTCATGTGAATTACATATGAATATAGTTGGTTTTCTCGTTTGAATTGTTTTACACTGTCATTTCGGGGCATTTTTAATATCTTGATATACGTAATGGGTTTTGCTCATTGTTGAAGGCCGTACGGTGACATATAGTTGATAACTTCTACGTCGTGTGGTCTCTGGTATAGAGTTGTCTAATTGGCAATCATACCATATCTTGTTATTTTTATACACCCTGATTTCTACTAGACCGACACACAGGATAAGATAGTTATCATACTAGCTTACAAAGATGACGTCTTCTAACGGAAGGCGTGTTACCCTATCCAGACACATCCTGACTCAGAGCTGACCAGTCTTTGCTCTTACTTTTGAATATACCCGAATTTGGCAATTGATAACTAAAGAAAAAAAATTAACCCATTGGGTACGGTGGACTGTATGGGTAGTTGGATAAAGAGGTAACAGATAATATTTAACTTTGGCCTTTTCACTCACGGTACCGATATCATACAAATGTACAATATATATAGATTTTGAATGCAAAAGAATATCAACACGAACAAATTCTTACCATATAACAATTTAAATATTGATATTTTCATTATCACATTACACTACATGCAATAAATGCTGGGTTTTAATTACTTAGAGTACACAACAAAAGGGACATTCCTTAGAGATAAAGTGGATATTGATTTTTGTCAAACAGTTTCTTGTGATAATTAAAGTGGCAATTTTCTGGGTAAAATCTTCGTAGTGATTATATACTTATGACCAGGTAAATCTAGGGATTGACAACTTTATTATGTTCGTTTTTAATTCTTTAAACATGATCTCATAATTATTTTAAAGTGTCATCATTCAATATTCCTGAAAGATCGGGTTCATGTTTAATTTTACTACAGAATAAACAACCGTAAAACTACTCCTTTTCTCGATTGCACCATACAATCAATCGCATTATGTCCTATTGTATTCACGTTGACCATGATAACTTGCTTCATTTACTTATAACTATATAATATTTCACATCTTCCAAAGACCAACACATTTGAAATTATTCATATACATCAACCGAACACGTGAAATTGGAAGCAATCATCAAAACTGAAGACAGACTGAGTAGCTTAATTTTCATGTTTTTATTTTTGTTTACATTTCTCTATATTAAAATAAAGATTCGTGTTTGTGTTGCATTGATATTAATAATGTGTCTCAAACAACGATCAACGTGACTGTGTTTAAATACCAATAATTATATTTAATTTGATTTCTATTGGGTGGTCAGTATAGCATGAGTTTATTTTTCATATTTGTATTAATTTTGTACAAAATGTGTCTAAAACAAGCAAAATTCGTTCTAAACGTCGTTCAAGGGAAAATATACCACTACACACGTGTTTATAGATAAACAACCCATGTGGAGTATACGTCAAATTGACAGCTACTAAGCAATACAATAAAAATAGAAAAACAGGTTACTCTCCCCCTGGTTCACTTGATTTCCGGCTCGTCTCTTACTTACTCACGATAAGATAATAACTTTCTACTTGAAATTGGGATTTCAGTTCTGATTCTGACTGATCTCTCATACACTTTCAACCCAGTTACTAGAAGTATATCTGGTATATTTTACCATATTGAGAGGGGTACGTTATAGATTTTTTTTGTTGCATTCGTGATAAATGTTTGGGATGTTAATACTCCATCAACAGGCGAGGACGCAAAAGGGGGGGGGGGGGGGGACCTGCACGCCTCCTAACATGGTAAAAAAATTGTGCTTTTAAGTACTTTTTTTTATGATATTAGCTTTTTGAAAGTTCTCGGTCCGCCACTGGTTTTTCATGGTCTACTGTTAACCAGTATGTTTCTTTTTTACATCTACCAGTACCAACATAGCTTTAACTTTTAAACAGTACAGTAAACCAACCACTTAGGTTCACTAGACTCTCGTGTTAATACCGGACCATACTTTAAGAGTATTCAACAAATTAAATGTGTTGTATTATTCCTCCACCCAAGAATTCAAATCAATATTTTAACGTTAAAATGTAACATGTTTTAAAAAGGTAATTTTTTTCTTACCTGTTCAGGTGAGATGCCATCATCTCCCATATAAGCAGGCATAGTTTTGTAATCCAACTGTCAATAAAACGTCCATCTATAAAATTCACTTTCCATTTTTAAAATTCCTTAATCTATGAGTATTTTCCACTTTAGTCGAAGATATTCTTAAAATAGTGAGGTGTTTTAATATGTACATATGTATATATTAAAGTTTACATTTTCTTACGCTGGTAAAGTTTTAAAGTCTCATTAACGAGGAGCCGAGAGGGGTTTTCGATGGTATCGACATGATTTAAATTGGATGATTGGTTTATTTTTAGATTTAAATACATAAATTATTAAAACAGATCAATAAAGTAAAATAAATGTTTATTGTTTATGTGAATGTACATTTTAATGATAAACAATGAAGTTTTAAAGTTTGTTAATTTGGGTTATTTTGAATCGAACGTCCTTCCAAATTAGTACCGGTGTCCGATAGCACGACTGGTTAAAATCATTAAAAGAAAAAAAGTTATATTTTTTTCATTTTCCTTAAGTCGTCAATGGTTAAATGGTTTGCGTATATTATAGTATACTGTATATATAAATTGACTGAAAGGTCCATATTTTTACAATAAATTATGTTAAAGTCGTGAATTAACTTAATTAATAATATTATTACATGTCATCAACGTGACTCTACATTTGATAACAGGTAATTATAGGGTTTCAATCGGAAGACATACTCAGCCAACGAATAAATATTTGTATGGTAACTGTTGCCATTTAAATGAAATTGAACAGAGGAATGTGTATTGAAGGCATTTAAAGATTTAAACATTTAGATTTGATCAAATGTCAAAAGGTATTATTAAACTTAGATAAGAATATAATGTGCATGGTATAATATCGGATGCAATACTGATAACAAAATATAAAATAAAGGTCTAAAGTCATTCATTGATTGTCAATGGTAAATACGGGTGGAAATCAAACTTGTAGAGTACGAAATGCTTTTTTTATATATTTTAACAAATACTCTTTAAAATTTGTCGCCGAACATGTTTTTAGAACATATGATCTTATTCGATTTGATCGTGCGATTGTCCGAATGTACATACGTCCGCTAGGCCGAAGGTCTAACGACCATCGGTCTGACACCCGATGTTCTGCTGGTCAAAAAGTTCTGTTGTGAGGATACTTATATCAAATTATTCCAATGTTAACGACTTAAAATCAACATTTGAACCATCGAAATCAAAATCAGTTATCGTCACTAAGTTTATCGTTACTACGTCGTACAAGTGAGAGGTTTGACTGGCCGTGGGACCAGGTTTAGTCCACCGTTTTCTGCATGGGAAAATGCCTGTGCCAGGTCGGGAGTGGGACAGTTGTTGTCCATTCGTTTGATGTGTTTGAGCTTTTGATTTTGACATTTGATTACGACTTTCCGTTTTGAATTTTTCCTCGGAGTTCGGTATTTTTGTTATTGTACTTTTTGGACGAGTATTGTAAAAATAATTGTATAAAGTTCGAGATTGCATGTTGGTTACGTAAGCGCGTCAGTGTTTGTGATATCATGTGGTGTCTGTCGTTGATGGAATATGTTCGTTGTTGTTCTACGGTTTGCTTGTTGTGTCGACTATTATATTATTTGTTTGTGCGTTTCTCTGTGATGAATGTTCTTGCATGTGTTTGTGCTGTATTCTGTCACGTAGTGTTGTCATTTTAGCGATATTTTTTTAACATTGTCATAAAGCGGGAGGTTTGGCTTGCCATTAAACCAGGTCCAACCCACCATTTTTTCTTAAAATGTCCTGTACCAAGTCAGGAATATGGCAGTTGTTATCAAATAGTTCGTTTCTATGTATGTTGGCATTTTTTTTTTTTTTTGCACTTCAGTGTTCCTGTTGTTCCTTTGTATTCCTCTTATAGTTGATGTGTTTTCCACGGTTTTCGTTTGTAACCTGGATTTGTTTTTTTTCAATCGATTTATGACTTTTGAACACCGGTATACTACTGTTGCCTTTATTTATATGCACGGGTGTCCAAAATGTGTTTTTACTATATTTACATAAACTAAAGTATAACATAAACTAGAGCCTCCGAAGGGATTGTAGTTTTCATATTCTATTCATGCATACATAAAGTCATCAGTGGCATTAATCTAGATTTACTACTGAGAAAGTCGGGCAGTTTTTGACAGAATTTGTAAGATTCTTTACCAGAAATAATTTATAATTTGATGATATTACCACACAGCCGTGTTCTTCAATGAACCGACGTAGCTTACTCGACACATAGCAAAGGATTCAGCTCAAAACGGTACCAGGTCTAGCACTTATATGTTGAAGGCCTCACTCTGACTTTGAGAAACAGCAATTCTAGCAGTTATAAACATTATGGCCAATGGACGTTTGAACCAAAGCCATTTAAAATTATCCCCAACATGTTAAAGTTTGCAAAAGAAACTTTTTTTACTTTTCTGCATAGCAATAAACTGCCGTCTCATGTGTTTGTCTATTCATTATTTATTTCGTTTATATTCTAACACGGAGTTCGGTATTTTTGTTACTTTACTTTTTATATTGTACAGTTATTTCCTTTTGATATTCTTTTAATTTTTGTGTCGTCTAAATTCTAAGTAAGTACGTGTTTTTTTTCCTCGCGTGTTCCATTTATACACGAAATTTGACTCGTTGAGAATCGGAAACGAGGAATTGGCGTTTTCGACTGTAGTGCAATACTCGAATTGGAACGAGTCACAGCAAGTGTAAGATCATACCCCTCCCATACGCATACAGATATTTCTCTTAGATCTAAATTAAAAACATTATAAATATGACTATATCTTTATTTTAATGAATACTTTATAACAATACAGTATCAAACATAATAAAAAAATTTAAGTTTAACATTTAACATTGAATAAACATCATATATATCACTAACATTGTTATTATGCAGGTACGGAAACAGAGAGTCACTATAAGTTTATATTTATTAGACCTCTATAACAATGCAGTGTATACCATATGTTTGATATATTAAAACTTTTTAACATTTGAGCTTAACTTTCGATAAAAGAAGCGCCAATAAAATAAATATTATGCAACTTAAATAATAATGAATGTATCTTTCTCTGTATAGGTTGGATGTTCAAATACACATTTCCTATAGAGACCTAATGGGCTGCTTTTGAATAAAAAAAACCCCACTTCTGACAAAAATTGTTCAAGTTCATAAAACAATAAGAAAAATATTATATAAAAATTCAGATAAATACCACAATATGACTATTAAATAGATCACTTTTAACATTTACAGAACTCGAATTGACTATAAAAGAGTAAATATTTATACACTTATAATAGATGGGAAGAAAGTTAGAAGACGTTTAATGAAAAGTTTTTAACAATTATAGCATGTATATAAAATATTGCACATATATGGTTATTCAAATTCCACACCATTATATGTTTTCAGATATTGCACAAATATATCTATACCAATACAGATATTCCATGTTATACAATTAAAAAAAGCTGAATCAAACATACTTTATTCTCATACAAAACGTTTATAACCTTTAAAATGTGTTATTAGCACCAAGTCATTGACCTCTTGTATTTATTTCCGTTTGACACATGTATTTTCCTTGCAATACAGTTAATAATGGTACAAAAAAAAAATTTCAAATCATATATCACCCATATTGACAAACTCCTTTCGGGTCATACTTCCCTTTCTCTTCGAGAACTGTAGCATTTTGTCACGACTGCTTCAGAGTTTATCATATTGATATAGAATAGAAATGACTGCGCTCGGCAATCTTTGATTAAGTAAAAATATTCTAATGCTCTTGGTGCTGACAATTCCATAAAACGCATTTGTAGCACAAACAAACATCAAGAAAACGAATTTACTTTCCTTCAAATCTGAAAGAGGACATTGCTGTGCTAGATACGCTTATTTTTTTCAAGAATTGACTAAATTAAATGTAAATAATTTGTAATCTTTTTAAGAATCAATAAAGTTTGTTTCACGCTTAAAACACCATTGTGCTAATTTTTAAAATCTTCATGATAAAAAGAGAACTATGAAAAAAAAAGAAGCAAAGGACATGAAAAACATGTACCATTATTCACAGAATTTTGATAAAAATTGAAAAAGCTTAAACTTTGAAAAAAAAAACTCAGTAAAGGAAAATCCTGATAATTTAAAACTGTAAGAGGAGTGATGCAAACATACAGACAGACATACAGACGTGTCTCTCTCAAACTCACCTTCGAAGGACCAGACAATTTATACATGTCATTGAATATTGAGTTTTAAATCAAGATGAAGGGTGGCAACAATGAATCATGGTCCAATTAGTATACTTGAGTTAAATTATTTAAAAATAAGTTCTCCTTAATCTGAAAAAAAATCAGTAGTTAAGACATCTACCATTTCTATACTAAAGGTTAATGCCAGAAAAATGTTGGTAAATCTCATTTTTCCTCTCAGATTAACTTGCTGTAATTCTTTTCATTTTAAATCATCTCGAACTACAAAGTAAAGCCGACTCTATATATAAAAAGAACGACAACCTCACGTTTATTGTCAGATATCCCAAACTGTCTTTCCATGCTAATTTTTTATATTTCACTCGTGTTCATAAGGTATTAAATCAACAGTCAGTATAGTCATTAGATGGCGAGACAGTGCAGAAGTAATAGGGAAACAACTGTGTTAGGCAAAGCAAATAGTGAAATAATATCGCGATTATCTGACATTTTCCAACTTGTAAATGGTTAGTAAGCGTTTCTCACTGTCCTTTTCCACATCTACACATTTGTTTTCTTCGGTCATGTTGAGTTTTTTCATTTTACTTCTGATTTATTACTCCTTTCCCATTTCATCATTTCAAAATATCTGGAATACATAAATCCATTTTTATGAAAGTTCATGAAGAACCAGTTTGACGTATACATATATCTTAGAGGTGCACAGGGGTAAGGGAACATGGGAATGAAGGTGTGAAGCGTGAGTCAGTGGATGGGAACCCAGGGGAGAGGGGGAGTAAAAATAGGGAGATGCTGGAAACAAACAAAAATGACATATTTTTGTCTGAGTAAAGGGATAGGGAAGTGGGAATAATGGGAGTCAAACGGAAGGTAGAGATGTAAGAATCAGGGACCCCCTTTCAACCCTCCTATATGAAATACAAAGTTAAATATGTAATAAATGAAGTAATTTGCTAAAGCATAGATACATAGAATACCACAAAATTATATGTAATGTATATTATAACCGGGGAAAATTCAGGAACACACTGTATCCGGGTAAAGTGTTTGTACTTATATAGAAACAAATAATAAGAGTACACGGGTAAAGTAAAGTCAAATAAAACATAGAACCATTAATTACCTGGCTTTAGTATGGGTGTATAAAATGCCAGTTACAGTATAAATACGTGTACAGAAAGAACAAAACTACAGTCTTAGTACATGAAGTACCAGGCTTGACAATGAATAGATAATGGGATTTCAAAGCTACAGTAATGGTAAATGAAGTGAAGTACCGAATCAAAATATAATTAAGTATAGGTATACCAGACATACATAAAGTAGCAAGCTAAAATAAGAAGTACACGATATACATAAAGTGGCAAGTTAAAATAAGATGCATGGACATGATGTATCAGATTGCATATACGATATGCATAAATAAAAAGTTGAAATATAGGTAATGTCTACATGAAAAACTAGGATGCATCAAAAGGTACAATAAATGCCAGTCTGCATTGTAGATAAAGGAAAAATAAGACTATAAATAAGTACATAAAGTCCTTACAAGGGAATACGAATCTCAAGTATATTTTGTGTACCTGTACACTATAAAGTATTAGAACATGAGTAAGGTTAATGAATATAGGTACAGAATGAATCTGAGTTCAATAAAGATACAAGAACATCAGATTAAAGAATAGATATTTGACTGCACGTGAAGTATCAAGCTTAATATTTGCTTCACAAAATGCCAGGTTTACAAGGTTATACAGTACAAAACCGAAAATTGAAAGTATAGACCAAATACAAACTTGTAAACACGCACCGAAGCTCGCAAACTAGTCAACGTCGTAATCGGTTTGGCCTTTTTACTTTTTTATTCGAGCGAAAATAATGGGTCCTTTGTAGAAAATGGCGTAAAATAATTTAAACCTGATATTTTTTTATGAGATTTTACAACCACAATATTTTGCTTTCTTATAGGTTTTTTTCTATGGCCACTGGCGAATCATGCGTTTAGCATGCAAAATGTAAAGCTTTGTATTTTTTCACGTGGTATTTTTGAGTAGTTTAAAAAAAAACACTTAGTTGATCCAATCGCTGAGGGACATGGTGTCCCAGAGGGTCCCACCAACTCATTAACCATTGTTCATATTCAACCAAAAATGACCTGTAATACGATCGTTTTTGTACTGTTCATGAATTATTAAAATCATTCCATATACTAAGGACTTTCTATCCCAAGACAATAGATGGTCGTAGACAGATTTGATAAAACTTTTTGGAAGTTTTCGTTTTCAATGCTCATCAATTCCTTCGTTTTGGCTTTAGTTTAGCTATTCAAACACAACTGAATAGTCTTATGTCGACCAATGGCACGAATGGCGTTCTTAATTAAAAACTTGGCCATTTTTTTGTAAGTTAACTGTTCATAAAATGTTACATGCATTCGAAATATATAGTAAACTTACTTTTTAATTTCATTATCCAACCAGTCCTTGTGTAAAAGTTTCGTCAACCATGATTCTGGTAAAGCAGACATACCAAGTTTGCATCCAAGTAAAGCACCTCCAACACACGCATTCGAATCGGCATCTCCTCCCTACGTAGAACATAAATTAGGTAAACAATTGATAAAAATATTCACATATCATTCAATTGGAAAATGCAGGATATATAGACAACCAGCAAGACAGAAGGAGCACATAAAAAAAAAACTAAACAATATGGGACACTTGCCTTTACTCCATTAAAATCCAAGAGGAGTCACAAGAGCCTTCCAAACGTCGTCTTTGGTGAAAAGAAAACTGTCTACCTACAAGCTCAAATCAACAACCAAGGAATTTTTTAAGTGCTGTACCACATCATGCAATTTGACTTGTGATAGTTGTAACGATCCATACAGCATTCAGCAATCATTTAATACAACAATACAAATAATAAGAAAAGACATCGTGTATACATTAATATAAAAATAAGGAGATGTGATTAATAGATATAAGAAGATGTGGTATGAGTGCCAATGAGACAAATCTCCATCCAAATCAAAATTTATAGAGGTAAACCATTATAGGTCAAAGTAAGGCCTTCAACACGGAGCCTTGGCTCACACCAAACAGCAAGCTATAAAGGGCCCCAAAAATTATCTATAAGAGTATTTACTAATTCTTGAATTTGGTGTAAAGGTTCAATTTTACCATTTTATCTATATTTAGCGCAATATTATATCCCATTTCCTCTAAATCCTTGATGGTGAAATAATGATAATGATATTAATTATGATTATTATCATTACCATTTGAAGTTGTAACGTAGTGTTATATTTTTTGTTTTAAGTAGAAAGACTTTTTGTGGTGGAAACAATTCACTAGAGCCAAATACATCTGTCGACTGTTGGCAATAATAAACTGCGTCACAATAAAAAGAAAGCCAATGTGGGGTTCCAAAAGCAATAACTGAATATTTACCTGCATCATAATTGTAGTGATTGTCTTCCGGAAATCATCTTGCTTCAATGCCCAGAATCCTGTTCCCATAGATTTGTATGTGTAGCCAATTTTGTTAGCTTCATCTAATTTCAAATCATTAATATCATCACATGTCAAATAAAACATAAGGTCTTTCTTTTCTGTATCCGTTTCTAAACACGTTGATGCATATGTGTAAGCATCTTGTATTATGTCTTTGACTTTGAATTTGCCTTTTTCGTCCTTGTGCTTTCCTTGTAACATTGTCGCTATGGCAACAGACACAGCTACTGTAGAAGCCTGGCATCTAGGAGACAAAAAAAAATCGGAATGTGTAAAAAGTCAATTTTGCACACAATACTCCTCTATAGTCAGCTGCATTTTAAGTGTCATCCGTATCAGTAATGGTTAAAACGCGCTTTAAGTTAACTTTTTTCTATTCCACGTCCTATTCATTACTGTTTGAAATTTCGTCTAGTATTCAATTGCTTGAGACTGGATGATTCCAAACATCTTTATGTTACATTTCTGAAATCATTGGTAAACACCAATCCATCAATCAATTAATTTCGTAGAATTGAAATTAGATGATTTTTTTAACAGCCAGTGGAGGCCATTACTTTTTATAGGTTGGAGCCCTGAACACATTCTTCAAATACGATTGAGAATAGAAATGGGGAACAACCCAACCAAAGCAGAAAACAGCCGAAGTTCACAAATGGATCTTCAACACAGCGAGAAAATCCCGCACCCGGAGGCGTGCTTCAGCTGGCCCCTACACATAAGCCTATTGGAGTCACCTTCACACAAAATAAAAAGTTCTAAAGTATCATATGAAAGATCTAGATCTGTTTAGACGCAAGAGATATATTGTTTTTTAAGGGAATACATTACTCAGCATGATTTAATACTAATAAATGACGTATGTGGTTTTGCCAATGTTGAGTGTACATTAAAATATTCTAAACAAATTTACCTTGGATCGTGGTGTGTTGTTTTTGCAAAGTCCCTTGCATTTTTTGTTACATCATCTAAAGTCCAGTACATGTGAATACCAACAATGGAGGTCCTCATTACAGCACCATTAGGAGCAATATTTCTGTCACGTTTATCCCAAACAAACCGAGCTACCTAAAATGTAAGTAAAGTGTTCTACTTGTGATTTGAAAGATTCAGAATATGTCATACTTTACAGTGCTGTTTATCATGTAGTTAACCTTTAAGAATACGATTAAATCACATCCGGTTCTTACTTTGTTTTCTTATAGAATTATGCATAATCTCTTTCTATCATAGGTTATTCAAAGATATTTTATTTTAATTAGTTTAAAAGTGTATTTTATTCATTGTGCAATATATCTTAAAAGGCCAAGAAATACGAGTACGAAGTTAAAGAACATTGTAATCAAGTACGAAGTTAAGGAGCATTGTTATCAAGAACGAAGTTAAAGAGCATCGTAATCAAGTACGAAGTTAAAAAGCATTGTAATCAAGTACGAAGTTGAAGAGCATTGTAATCAAGTACGAAGTTTAAGAGCATTGGAATCAAGTACGAAGTTTAAGAGCATTGAATTCAAGTAGGAAGTTAAAGAGCATTGATGTGAAACAATAGATATTTGCAGTATAAAGAGTCTTTGAGATAGAATGACTACTATTTGTCGTGATTCTAAGATGGGTTTATATATGTAAAAATATCTGATAGACGATAAAGAGTAGAATTTACTTTATCTTGGATTTTTTTTTATCTGTCAAACCAATTAAAGAAGAACAAATATTTCTGAAGTATTTATTTATGGTAGTTTATTATGTTGGCTATTTATATGACAGTATAAACAAAACTTTGCATATTTTCTGTTGTTTTGCATAATTTTTTGGTAGATTATGCTGTTTCAATAGTCTCTTAGTATTTGCTATTTATATTAAATGTGCTAAAATATAAGGAGTTGTCCGTTTTATAATGAAGAGTTTTGGAAATATGACAACACAGAGACTTCATTTGCTCTCACTTTAAATGTGTTCAGTATAGCCAGTTTATGGTAAGTACCATGTGAAATTAGTCTTGGCAATGTCATTGTCAGTTTATTTTCGACTTATGAGTTTGAATGTCCCTTTTGTATCTTTCGCCTCTCTTTTACCTCATGTGGGTCTTTCAGGAATTCTGGACGTGACGTTACGTTCATTGTTGTAAGACCTAAACCCAATCCAACTAAATCACCCAACTCACTAAAACCACTCTGTATCCAGGTTTTCAATTTTTTAGCAAAGTCAACAGGATCTACCTAAAAAAAAAAACTTTTTAAAAATATAGGGATAGATATTAAGACGTCTTTTAAATGGGAATCAAGAGTTGTGTATTACCTCTAGACTTCGTTTTGGCTAGGTAGGATTTAATTTTGATGTACATAGGAATTAAAAACTAACAAATAAAGCAATTTTACTACATCAGATGCGCATTTCGACAATAAATGTCTCTTCATTGAGGCCAACTATTTGAAAATAAATTACTTATTCAAAAATGTAAATGAAACGTAGGAGTAGGTATTTTAATAAATAAAAATAAGGTAATTGTGGAAAACCCTAAACATAAGTACTTTTTTTTCATCCGCGACGTTTATCAGAGTGTTAAGTGAAAATAGAAATGAAAAATATTTTAACAAACATAATAATATTTGAAGAAATGTACATTTCCGTTTTTTATAGTCATAGAAAGTAAATAATTTTTAAATTTACAGGCTAGACAATCGATAATTGTAGCCTCCTTTTTATAAAGTGAATGTGGTTAATTTGTCTAGAGCGCTGGATGTCGACTTGGAAATAGACATTCTGAAACATACCTTACCACCACAGTCGACTAAAGACCTCATGATTAGTATCATTTGGTCACTGTCATCTGTCCAGTCGCCTTCTTGCCATCTTGATCTGTGAAAATCACAAAGGATCTGTTTATGGCGATATTCCAATTTTTTGGCTACTTTCTCATAATGCTGGAGAGAAATTAAATATGAATAAACTAAATGGGAAAGTAAGTACACAAAATAATTTACCACTTTCAATGATCTATAGTCCTGGCAATAAATATGCGTTCTTGTCAAATCAAATGTGTTGAAAATTTATATTAACCTATAGTTGTTTTTTTGTATTAGCTTGTGCTGCTTTGTTAAGGTTTAATTGACATTTTTATATCATCTCCTTTCGTTCAGACTTTTATTTTTTCGGACTTCTCAAATAAGTTGTGATTTAAAAAAAAACAGATATTTAACGCTGACTTCTTGGTTAATCATTCAATAAATGTCCTACTGAAGAATAAACACAAAAAAACACTGATCTTTATACCATCATCCATAATCATAAAACCCCTATTTCAGCACCAATTTGATTGTGCAATTCACTTCCTTGAACTGATTCTCAAACTCAATACATTTCTGTCTGTGGAGGGATATTTTTCTATAAGAGTTTTTATATGATATATCATTTTTGCTTGTTGTTTTCCCTAGAGGAAAACAAGTTTTCTGAGTTTCAGTTTTATAGCCTTTACATACGATACATTTATTGTAGAATGGAGCATCAGCATGTACCCATTTATATATAGTGAGGAAGAACTTATATCCTTCATAGGCTTTGCTTATGTATGATCAGCTTGCCATAAACTCTCTTTAGTACAGTTTTCTGGCTATTAACTCTGTAATATCCTTACTTGAATTAACCTTCAAACTCATAAAAACAATCGAATAGAGATACCAGTTTTTCTAGTATTTTTGATTATTGTTTACAACTACTGGGTCGATGCCAATGCTGGTGGACATTTCTTTCCCGATGGTATCACCAGTCCAGTAGTCAGCACTCTTGTTCTGATATGAAATATATATAATATAGTGCTGTATTTTTTATTTTGTGTTCATATATTATATAATATCGAAACACTAGGGTTCTGATTCCAGGCATAGATTGCATTTATCAGGTTTAGTACAACGTTTTGTTTTCAATTGTCATTGACATCGTTGTTGATTTGGCTACTAATTTATTTCGAGCGCCACTGTTGAATACTGTGCAGAGGAAATATGCCTATGGCGTTATAAATTATGACTATGTTTTATCTTTTAATTAAAAACTTCCTTGATGCTCACTTTTATCAATCTTACAAGTCATGTCATAAACCATCCAGCTAAATGGCATATCAAAATCTTCATTCCTTAAACACTCTTTTTCCAGTGAAAAGTTAAAACTCAAAACTGGTCGAGACCGGCTATAAGACGGGATAAGACTTAGGGTCTCCTGTGCTGACCTATTAATGCGTTCATTTTCTTTTTTTATACTCCTAATAACTGTTGATGACCTTTTAAACGTCGACTGCTTTTATTATCCTTAGAATAACTAGAAAGCTAAAACAATATTCACCATCTTTGCCTCATCCTTTGATAAGAATTCAGTGAGAAGTCCGATTGCATCCCCAATACATTGTCCATATATAGTTGCTAGCATCCTGTCCATCGTTTCTAATGATGGTTGGTAAGCCTTAAAAAGAACAGCAACAATATTTTAATACATCATCATGCGTCTGTTTGTATATTTCTGCATGTGTGCTTGTTGGTCCTGAATATGCAGGACTTGGAAGCCTCATAAAATCCAAAGTTTGTTGTGGGGTATGAATTGCTTATTAGTTGTCTATGTAGTGTTTTGTGAATTCGTTAATCATTTCTTGGCCTTTTTTTCTCGTTTTTACCATTGTGTTGTAAGTATTTCTCGACTTGTCAGTTTTGAGTGTATCCTTGGTATCGCCCGACTCTTTTTTCTCTTGACGGGTTGTCTCAAATATAAGAATTTTGGAAAAAGGAGGCGAAAATAAAACGTATATTTACGATCGGTTCAGGGCATTCATTACTAAATGGCAATTAAATAATTTCGTTACAGGTAACATTCAGTGTTGTTATATTTTTGACACCATTTGTGTATAATTTTATCATTTTTGTAACGACTTTTCCTTTTTATACCAGGTATGCACCTTCTTTCTTAGTCAGACCTCGAGTACAGGAGGTATTGGTATCGATTCTTAGCTTGATGAAAATAAAGACTTTAAAACAGGTGGTGGCTGCTTTTGAACTATTTAGACTTTTAGAAATATGAGCGTAGATTGGTCGACTGTGTCGGACTAGATTGATATGTCTTTCTGAGGACATTTATTTTGACATGTAACAAGTCAAAACCAGATTGACCTTATGTCGATCTAGTATGAGGCAGAGTATATTCATATGTATTTATTAAAGTTTAACGTACACAAGTTTCTATTTATGTAAACAAACACACGTGAGTGTGTGTCTTTATAGTTGTCATCAATTGGTGTTTGTATGAAATAAACAGGTTTGTGTATAATTATATGATATTTCGGATATGTCAATATTTGTCGCAATGCGTAAATAAATTTTGATAATTGATATGTAAATAGCACGGGATTTTTTAAGCGCGAATAGTTTTCTTGTTAATAGTAACTTAAGGAATATTGTCATTTAAAGCTCGTATACTGTGCAGTTAAGTTTGGATGAAGACCCCCACCCCACCCAATGAATGTTTGTATTTTTGTTATGCTTTTATACTTGGATAGATAATATGATTTTTCACTTTGATTTTCTATTTTGTAGGCTGTCGAGTACCACGCAGTGGTGTTACTGTAGTATCGGGACCCAAATTATTTCATTTTGTTGATAATAAAATAATCAAGTAAGCTGCACATGCTGGCAAGCTTTTCATATGAAACAAGTATTTATTTTTTATTTTATAAATACTTTATGTTCTTTTGAGGTAACGAGTGAGAAAATAAATGTTAATATCATATTAACGTCCTGAATATGCATATAGCATTTGCATGGACGTTAAGCAGGAATCAAGCGCTTAATTTCTTTTAAAAATATTTTAACAAAATAATTCATGATTTTGAAACTAAGCAATCAAGATTACAGGACACCACTATATGCAACACGGCAGCTTTATAACCAGAACATATCATCATGACGGATGACTGTTAAAACTATGAGGCAAAACTAGAAATTTTATTAACAAAATTGTTCTTAAATTGTCACAAATTACTATTTTATTTGCAAGTTGATAACTTGTATTTGTTGAGTATTTATACGTCTTTTAAAGGACTGATTTTGTATCTAGTATTCCAAATTCTTTCCTATATTTTTTTCTAAATGTATTGTATAAATTTTGATAACCATCCGACGCCTTCGTAAAATTATGTATAGAGTTGAGTATTATCTAGGCGTTCTATCATATACATTTCTTTACCCGATTGACTAGTTGTTATGTTTTTAATATTAAGTACTTAATAAATGCAGTTTACTTTATTCATATGAATAAATTTATGCATTATTAGATTACAAATTTAATCATTAATTGAGGAAAATCATTTAGAACCTCATACATTTTGTTATCATTATGACGCATGTTCAGTAACGATATCAAGACATATTAGATAATAGTGTTGCATTCTTCTTTTGTCATTGGTTATTACGATCACATGATTCAAAGAGTATTTTGTAGGTATATGGAGCGGAGACAAGTTTACTTCCCCAATTACTTTAATGCAATTGTATCAAAATTGGGTGAGGGGGGCAGTTTTTTTATTCCTAGACATCAACATTTCAATTACTTTCTCATACTAGTATCTCCTTTCGTGGTTTCTGGGAGAATTCTATACGGTTCCTGATCGGCAATTAAGAAAGCAATACAGTTTTGAGTGTTAATAGTTTCATTTTATTAAGTTCCTGGTTAAAAACGGAAGTAAAATTTGGACAATTTACTCAGACAATCATCTATCCAGTACATTTCTGAACCATTTGAAATTAAACAGAAATAAAACATCTTTGTAATTCTCTGAACTTTGTCAATGTCTATCAAATAAACCACCATTTCAAGATGTTTGTTTTGCTTAATTTCTTCAGGTGTACGATGACAGGAACATGGACCCAATTATTCCCCCCCCCCCCCCATTACTTAAGGCAATTTGTATTATAATTGAGGGGGAGATTTTTTTATTCCCTATACTAGACTGCAAAATTTCAATTTTCAAGTTTCAAATACCGTTTAGATATACTACAAATTTAAGCATTTTTATATAATTTTCATCTCAGTACAAATTAAATAGAAAAGAAAGAAGGTTGATATAGGAACTTCATTCTATATATTTTAATATTTCAAATGAATGAGAACATCAAAATATTCGCCCGCAAATGTGTCCGTATACAAATGTATCCACAAAACAGGCTTAATTGTAATGATAAAAACATTTGATTTGGTCACACGTTTCATGAAGTGATCGTGTTCAGTAATTTATTGGTCAATTCGAGTATTCAAAAACGCATTTTACCATGCTGTTTATTAGTAATACTTACAGAAGCCGTTTTGCCATCTCCGCTGTCCGCCATTGTCAGATCATACGATGAATTTTGATGAATAATGTCGTGTTTAAATCCTTTCATTAATATAGGAAATAAACAATATCTATAAATAGAATCTAACACGTTAATATATTTATATTCTATTCATATTCGAAATCAGAAATGGGGATTCTTCGTGATTGCTCTTTTTCTTATTCTTTTTAAATTTGTTCGATCGATTTCATTTTTCTTTATTGAAAAAAAACCCTCAATTATTCAAGTTTTATTACATGAAACATTCTTGTTCTTTTTTTTTATAGAACTCATGATCATTTATTGTCTTTCATTTTTGCTAATGTGTTTTGTCTATATATAAAAAAAGAAGATGTGGTATGATTGCCAATGAGACAGCTCTTCACAAGAGACCAAATGACACAGAAATTAACAGCTATAGGTCACCGTACGGCCTTTAACAGTGACCAAAGCCCATACCGCATAGTCAGCTATAAATGGCCCCGAAATAACAAATGTAAAACAATTCAACGAGAAAACTAACGGCCTAATTAATGTACAAAAAATGAACGAAAAACAAATATGTATATGCCTTTTTGCGTTTTTTTTTGTTACATAATTGTTTGTTTTTAAAGTGATTAAAATTATAAAACAATGTTGACTGCTGTACCCCTATTTTTGACATTTTTACCTATTATGTCTGTTTGTTTTGTTCACACATCGTTGTCAATATAATGGACTGTCATACAAGTGAGAGGTTTAGCTAGCTATCAAACCAGGTCTAATCCACCATTTTCTACATAAGAAAATTCCTGTACCAAGTCAGGAATATGACATTTGTTATCCATTCGTTTGATGTGTTTTATATTTTAATTGTGCCATTTGATTACGGACTTCCCGTTTTGGATATTCGTAGGAGTTCGGTATTTTTGTTATTTTACTTTTTATTAATGAAAAAAAATCCATAAAAGTTGTTTGAACGACAATTATAAAGTAATATATGTACACATGTTTCGTTTCTAGCACTGAGTCGATACCGCTGCTTGTCACAGGCACCTTTGGCATGGAACCCCTTTCTCTTTTCATTTTTGTTGATGGTGTTTTAGATTTAAGTTATATTGTCTAAAAAAAAATCGAACTTCTTTTCCCTTATTTTATATGTTTTGTTCTTATATGTATCAACTCAATATAATGATAGAGTAGAGGAACAGCATTTAGGAACTATTGCAAGATTGTATGGATAAGACCAAACATAGGAAAAACAAAATAAGTTGAAATATTGAAAAAAAATATAAAGTTTAAAAAAAATTAGAAAAATAGAAAGGGGTTCATCCTCAAGCTCCTGTGTTGCTGGTTGGCTGCAAGTGTTTCTGTATCGGCATTATTTATAAAATTTCTTTCTTAAATCTTCCGTTGATTTATTCTGAAATTATCAAGAAAGTTTTAGTGGATTTTGTTATTCTTGTTATGACCCTTTTTGGGCATATAGCATCTAGGATTAAACGTATAAACTGAACTTATATCAAGAAAAGCGTCCGTAATTCACTAAAATTTTAAACTGTTATTTTTTTTAAGCCAATTAGGATCAATGACTTTGAACAAACACGTTAAAAAATTATCATACAATAAAACATTACTACGTGTCATGTTATCATAGTTACATGATATTTAAATATTTTCCAGACTTCATTGTTCTCTGTCTGGGTGACTTGTTTTTTTATAAAATTTAATTAAGCCATATTTGTAAGGGATCTTGTATTGTAGTCATTTTCACTTCTGTTAGGAGTGACAAATATACGTTGCCAAATTTATAAGTGAGTTGCTGTTTGTTATTTTATAGAATACAAACATTTATGGATTGTTAGCTAATTCCTGTGCAGAATGAGAAAAGTCTCGATTTTGATTTAAATCATTGCAAAGTAGCTTGTGACTTTTCACTATTATATTCAAACATGTAATTTGCCATTGTTGCTTCCTATCATTTCAATTTGGTCTTTCTGTTATGGAAAATATGCAATGATAACTTTGATTATGTCTATAAAAAAATCTAATGTTACTTTATTTTTGTATAAAATCCATAAATACAGGCGGTGCACCGAACTATTTATTATATTCTCACTATAAGTGTGTATGTGTTGGGTGGGGAGGGCATATTGCAATCATCTGTCAGTTCGCTCGTCCGTCCTTCTTTAAGTCTCTTACTTGTACTTTCGTTACAATTTTTCAGGTACTACTAAACAGTTGATTTCACAAATAGGTCAGCAGCTTGTCATGATCAGTGATGGGTTGTTACGTTTGAGCATTTTTCTGATATGTCAGACACTTAAAACTTTGAAAATGTCAATATGTTGAATGAACTTAAAATGGCTGTCACACATTTCTTCTGTATTACCACTGTGGTAAAGTTTATACGAACAGAATCTTTATGACACCTACCTCCTGTTCTCCGATGCTTTAAATTACGACCGGGGGCATGTTCTCCTTTACGAAATTCTGCCCCATACCTAATAAACAATGATATTTTTCCAGTGGCAATCCAATTCTTTAACCCTTCATCCCGGTCGACACCGCTCGCAGAACTAACTTTTTTGATATTTTAATTTCTTCACGTCCAGATTTCATGCAATATCTGTCACTGAACGGTTATAAATTTATCAATCAATCACTCCGAATGCTGAGATGTTTGACGAATACAATGTCGAATTTCTGCGACAACAAAATAATGCGTTGCTTGGAAATAACGGGTCAGAATATTGCGGCATCGGGTGATACCATAAACCTGTTCTTTGCTACTATTGTCACTTTTATGTATGTATACCAATCGTTTTATAATACTTATTTAGAATCCAGTTTAGCATTAGTAACATTTGTTTTGTCGCTTTTGTAAAATCCTATATTTGTTATAACTAAGATGACTGTGGTGAAGAAATATCTTTTGCCGGACCTCTCCCGTACAACAGCATTCTGTGAGTATTGCATGGCAATACATAGTCCCTTACCGGTTAAAAATATTCATTGTATTGGAACAAAATTCTAACTTGATCTATTACTTGTCATGGTGTAAACTATATAACAAATATCAAGTCAATATCTTCAAGCATGACGAAAAAAAGTGTTGAAAACTGATTATTTTCGTCCAAGGACCATAACTCTGCACAAAATCATCAGACCGGAACAAAATTCGAACTTGATCTGTAACTTGTCATGATAAAACTATATACCAATTTTCAAATCAATATCTTCAAGCATGACGAAAAAAAGTGCGGAAAACTGATTATTTGAGTGAATTTTCTAAGTCCAAGGACCATAAATCATCAGACCGGAACAAAATTCGAACTTGATCTGTAACTTGTCATGATAAAACAATATACCAAATATTAAATCAATATCGTCAAACATGAGGAAAAAAGTGTGGAAAACTGATTTGCCGGACTGACGGATGGACAGACAGACAGACAGACAGACAGACAGACAAGACAGTCGGACGGACGGAGTGCAAACCTAAAGTCCCCTTCGGACTTCGTCAGTAGGGGACTAATAAATAAATGGAGCATGTGTCCATGGGACGCAGAAGATGCCCTTGATTGCATATAAAGTTATAAAGGGATATAACTGAAGAGCAGAAAAAGTTACTCTACCCATAATACTTCATCTGAGTTTTGTGGTAATGAGCATTGTGCATAAGTGTCATTCATTGCTTTTGGTTGATGAAAACTTAAGTTAGAGAACGGAAACGAAAAATTCAGCAATTTTGTCATTGGAAAAGGGGCATAACTCTAGAACAGTATAAGTGGCGACGTCCAAATTCAAACTTGATCTGTGTCTTGTGGTAATAAGCATTGGGTAGAAGATTTGTAACATTTGGTTGAGGCAAACGAAATATTCAGTATTTTTGCATTTGTAAAAGGGCATAACTCTTGAAAGGTCAAAGTGACGCCTCTCAAATTCAAACTCGATCTGTGTTGTATGGTAATAAGCATTTTTTATCAGATTCATAACATTTGGTTGAGGAAAACTTAAGTTCGAGAACGGAAGCCAATTTGTGATATTTTAAGTATCTTCAAGACAAAAAGAGAAGTATAAAAAGAGAAGCAAAACGCTGAAAAAATATGTACATTATATGCAGAATTTTAGAAAAATTGCACAATCTTAAACTTAAGAAAAATAAAGTAAATGAAAATCCTGATAATAAGCACATATTTTCTAACTAACAGATTTGATACTATAAGAGCAGTAATGCTAGCATACATGCAGATTAAAAGACTTGTCTCTCTCAAACTCATGGTCTCAGGACAATATAATGTATACATGTACTTGAATGTTGAGTTTCATTGGCATAAATTAATCATGGTTCAATTAGTACTCTAGTTAAATTATTAAAGGTTGTAAATCTAATTTTTCCGCTCAGATTCAGTTGCCGTGATTCTTTTATAATCTCCTCGAAGTAGAAAGGAAATTCATATTGATAAAAAAAAACAAAAAAACGTCACACTTATAGTTTACTCCTGTTTATACAGTATAAATCAATAATTTATTTTTATATTTCATTGATGTTCTTACAGTATAGAATCAATTACTATTTTTATATTTCACTCGTGTTCATACAGTATAAAATCAATCATATATTTTTATATTTCATTGATGTTCTTACAGTATAAAATCAATATTCTCTTTTTTATATTTCATTCGTGTTCATACAGTATAAAATCAATCATATATTTTAATATTTCATTGATGTTCTTACAGTATAAATTTAATAATCTATTTTTATATTTCACTGGTTTTCGTACAGTATAAAGTCAATCATATATTTTTTTATATTTCATTGATGTTCTTACAGTATAAAATCAATAATCTATTTTTATATTTCACTCGTGTTTATACAGTATAAAATCAATCATATATTTTAATATTTCATTGATGTTCTTACAGTATAAAATCAATAATCGATTTTTATATTTCACTCGTTTTCGTACAGTATAAAGTCAATCATATATTTTTTTTATATTTCATTGATGTTCTTACAGTATAGAATCAATAATCAATTTTCATATTTCACTCGTGTTCATATGGTATAAAATCAATAATCTATTTGTATTTTATACTCATGTTCATAAGGTATAACATCTATAATCATCATAGTCATTAGATGGTGAGACTGAGTTACAGTAGCAATGAAAAAAGTAGTTTATAAAAGCAATGAGTGTAGTTATCTCGAGAATAATGACATTTTTCAACTTGTAAATTGTTGGCCAGTGCTTCTCTCTGTCCTATTTTGAAAATACTAGATTGGCATCATATCCACACAATTTATCTTCTTTTCTCTTGTAGATTATTTTTCATTTTTCTTCTGATTTTTCATTCCTTTCCCATTTCATCATTTCAAAATATCTGGAATACATAACAAAAAATTAAAATCATGAAGAACCAGTCTGATGAATCAATATATGAAGTACCATGTGAATTTTTTAATAAATGAAATATTTTGCTATAAATAAACTCATCATAGATAATCGGGATCGAAATATGGTACGCAAGCCGCGCATTTCGTCTAAAAAAGACTCATCAGTGACGCTCGAATCGAAACAGCCAAAAGGTCTAATAAAGTACGAAGTTGAAGAGCACTGATCCAAAATTTAGAGCGGTTCTGCCAAATACAGCTAAGATTATCTATTCCTTGGATAGACATTGCTTAGTATTTCGAAAAATTCAAAGTTAATTTATAACTATGACCATATCAATGCTAATGCATGTAAACACAGAAGTGCTGACTACTGGCATCGTGATACCTTCGGGGAAGAAACCTCCACCAGCAGTGTCATCGACCAAGTGGTTGTAAATAAACTCATCATAGGTACCAGGATTGACATTTTGTACGACAAACGCGCGTTTCGTCTAAAGTAAAGTACATTAAATACCAATCATATTATATGTAATGTATATCAAAGTTTGGCACACACAGAAACAGGGTAAATTATTGGTACTAATGGTAATACGAATTATGCAGGGAAAGGTAAAGTAAAAAAAAAAACATCAGGATGAACATAAAACTATCAAGTACCTGATCAGTTATAGTACATTCAAGGCTTTATTCAAGATAAATTAAGTATAAGGCTATACATATTAGACTGACCATAAGTACATAATGTCCCAACAAGAGAACTCAAATCTTAAGTATATTTTATGTACTTATGTACACATAGAGAGCCAGACTATAAAGTATTAGAACTTGAGTATGGGTTAATGAATAAAGGTACAGAATGAAGCTCGAAAGATACTTGTACATAAGCATCAGATTAAAGTAAAGTTAATTGACTGTACATTAGGTACCCAGCTTATGTATAGCTGCTCAAATTGCCAATTTACAAGGCTATGTAGTACAACACTGCAGTTTCAAAGTATAGACATACATGAAATGCATACTTCCAAGCAAGCACCGAAGCTCGTAAACTCATCAAATTTGCCACTACAATTTTACAACCACTTGATCGATGGCACTGCAAGTAGTTTGATGGATATATTGTTCCCGAGCTTCACACCAACCCATTATCCATTGCTCTTATACAGACAGTAAAGATCAGTTATGCGATCATCTTTACGTAAATTTACTGTTCATACATAAATTATTAAACTTTTGTGGAGTTTACGGTTCAATGCTCCTCAACTCCTTCGATTTTGACTTCATTTTAGCTATTCAAACCCGACTAAATTGTCCTATGAAGACAAAACGCACGAATGGATTAAGCTTGGTATACTTGGTGATATTTTATAACCACTGCGTGCGACGATACCACTACTGATGGACGTTTTGAACTAAAGTGTATCATTAGAGCGGTAGCTGAGCTCTCCTACAAGTCTTTTAAGACGAAATATGCGTATACCATTTTTAGCTTGGTGTCATGATAAGATTTTACAATTTTGCAAACACTAGATCGATACCACTGCAAGTATTTTTTTTTTGTCAACCACTGGGTTTATCAGCATGATCAGATCGCTGATGGAAATATCGTTCACGATCGTCTCACCAACCCATTACTAATTGTTCCTTTACAGACAGTAAAGATTGGTATTGCGATTAATTTCCGTAAATTTACTGTTCATAAATTTTTAAAGTCATTCGATACTTTAAAAATTTTTCAATCAATAGACAAAGATGACCTCAGCCGGAATTCATAAAACTTTTTGGAAGATTTCGTTTTCAATCTCATCAAAGCCTTCTATTTGGCTTCATTTTAACTATTCAAGCGCGACTAAATAGTTTTATGAAGATAAATAAAACGCACGAATGGCGGATGCCTGGTATATTTGGTGAGTTTTTTAAAGACGAAATGGGCATAAGGCGTACACAATTTAAAGCTTGTTAACTTGATTAGCTGTAACAACAACTAGATCGATGCCACTGCTGGTTCAGCCTGGTTGACGTTTCATCTCCGAGGGAATTACCAACTATATAGTCAGCGTACAATTGCTTAAAGGAAATATCATTGTTATGGTCATTTTCTGTACATTTTGTACATCAAATGTTATATTCATTTGAAATATTAAGATTGTTCTACCCCTAGCACATATGGCCTGAGCTTAATTTGGCACTTAATTTCGGATTTCGGACTTTATTCTTTTATGTCTATTACTTTGTTGTCGATTTTGCTGCAATAGTTGGATTCAAACACCACTGATGCCTCTTACGTAGAAGACATAATGAATATTTTGTGACAAAAATATTACACAACAAAGCGACTTCAATTAATTTTTTAATAAAATTTGGAATTTTGCAATGATACTTGTAATATTGTTACGATTATAAACAGGTTCAGTAACACGAATTTAATTGAAAATTTTGAAATTGATTTATATCAACTGAAGATACACTTACTTTTTAATCTCATTATCCAACCAGTTCTTGTGTAAAAGTTTCGTCAACCATGATTCTGGTAAAGCAGACATACCTTGTTTACATCCCAGTAAAGCACCTCCAACACAGGCATTCGAATCGGCATCTCTTCCCTAAGTAGAAGATTAATAAAGTAAACAATTGACCAAAATTGTGCACATATTACTTTATTCGAAAATACGGGATAAATAGACATACAACAAAAAAGAGAAAAAAACAAACTATCATTTTAATACAATGGAAAATCAAAGAAAAGTCTAAAGAGCATTATAAAGGTCTTCAATTGTGAAAATACAACACTGCACAGCTATATCAAAATCGAAATAGCCAAGGACATAGATGCTTAAGAATCCCTATGCCATCGATTATGCTAATTGCTGAAATCCCTTCAACATACAGCAATCTTTCAGTTTCTTAGTAAGAATAAAAAAAAGACGTCAAGTACAGATTTGACAGGTTTAAATTAAAAAAAAAAGGAATTTGTGTTTGAATTTGCCCCATATCTTTATTTTGGTCAGACCTAAATGGAAAATATACCATTACGGTAACATTATATCATTCTTTTTAATGTCTTGTAAGTTTAAGACAGTAACGACTTACAAAATTAATTTCAAGGTAAAAAATTCATAAGAATTAACGCTTTAAATTAAAGGCACCACAAGCTGTTACGTTGAATTAGAATATAAATCTGGTTACATGTATAAGCGTATTTATTCATTCTTTAAGTTGGCGTTCAGATTTACCAGTTCATTTATATTTAGCACAATATCTCTTATTTCTTCTAAATCCCTGATGGTGAAATAATAAAAATGATGATATTTATTATTATTATTAATAATTATATTTGAAGTCATAGCGGAGTGACGCACTTTAATCTTGAAAGAATATTTGTTTTATAGACTGTTCACTTTAAACAAATTCGTGATGTCAACTGTGTTACCAAACGCAAATATAACTGAATTTGTACCTGCATCATAATTTTGGTGATTGTCTTCCGGAAATCATCTTGTTTTAATGCCTAAAATCCTGTACCCATGGATTTGTATGTGTAGCCAATTTTATCGGCTTCATCTAATTTTAAATCTTTAATATCATCACATTTCAAATAAAACATAAGGTCTTTCTTTTCTGTATCCGTTTCTAAACACGTTGATGCATATTCGTAGGCATCTTGTACTATGTCTTTAACTTTGAATTTGCCTTTTTTGTCCATGTGCTTTCCTTGTAACATGGTTGCGATGGCAACTGACACAGCTACTGTAGAAGCCTGGCATCTAGGAGAAAAAAATAGAACGTAGTAAAAACTCAGTTTTGCACACGATATTCCTCTATAAACAGTTGCGTTTTAAGAGTCATCCATATCCAGTAATGTTTGAAACGCGTTTTGTGTTAACTTTTTTTCTATTCCATTTTTCTTTTCATTTCTGTTTGAAATTTCGTCCAGTATTCAATTGCTTGAGACTAGATATTTCAAAATATCTATATGCTCCATTAATTTCTTAAATCATTCAAGATTTTTTAGTTTGATAGAAGAGTACAAACTTGCTTCTATGATTTAATCCAAACTTGTTTATTTAAATATTTCTGCTATCTCTATTTTGCTTTGTCATGATGATGTTTCTGCTTAAGGATGTTTTCATTGATATGATTTAACAATTAGTTAACACAATCGTTGATACACACGACATAAAAAAAACATTATCGGAAAAATGAAAAATAAATGGGCAATTTGTCCATGAGTCACAGATGATGTCCCCGCTTGCATATAAAATAAAGGGACATTACTCAAGAATAGTAAAAGTGACGCTATCAAAATTCATACTTGATCTGAGTTTTTTGGTAATAAGCATTGTGTATAAGTTTCATAACATTTGGTTGAGGCAAACTTAAGTTAGAGAACGGAAATGAATAATTCAGCAATTTTCCCAATTGTTAAGGGGTATTACTCTAAAACGGTAAAAGTGACACCACTAATTCAAACTTGATCTGTGTTTTATGGAAATAATATTGTGTATAAGTTTCATAACATTTGGTTGAGGCAAACTTAAGTTAGAGAACAGAAACGAACAATTCAGCAATTTTTCCATTTTTAAAGGGTCATAACTATAGAATGATAAAAGTGACGCCAATGAAATTCAAACTTGATCTGTGTTTGTGGTAATAAGCATTGTGTATAAGTTTCATAACATTTGGTTGAGGCAAACTTAAGTTAGAGAACGGAAACCAATTTCGGGACGTACGGACGGACGTACAGACGTACAAGGGTAAAACTTAATGCCCCCTCCGCTACGGCGTGAGCATAAAAAACAATAAGGAAATGGAAATAAAAGGAGTGAATCGAAAATTCTGCTGTATCGGATTCAAAGGGAAGGTATTACGATTGGGAAATCCTCTCCATATCCTAAAGGGGACCTCGGTGGCCGTAGTCTAAGAAGTTCAACTTCTGCATCACTAGACTGTCAACACTAAAGGTTGTGATTTCGAACCTCGCACGTAGTAG